AAAGGTTGAAGAAATTCCTACCTCAAGAATAGAAGAGGAAGAGAACAAGAGTATAAGTTTGACAGAGCCAAAAACAAAATCTCTTTTGATTAAAACGAAGCTTTCAACGAGCTCTATCTTTTTCTCTAAGGAACTATGGTAGAAATCAATCGATTTGGGTGTATTTGAGGTATTCAGGCAAGAACTAGAGAGAGAGAGAGAGTGGAGAAATTAGGTTTAGAAGTGTTTTAGAGAGGGAGATGAAAAAGTGACTAAAAAAGGCTTTCTTTCAATCTAATACATGCACAGATTGCTCAAGCGACCAAAACACCGCTCGAGGATCAGACACAATAAGTGACACTGCTTGAGTGCACAATGACCCCCTCCTAAAAGTTCAAAAGACCTGCAAAAGACTGCTCGAGCGAAGATCACCCTACTTCCAAAAGTTTTACAAACCTGCAAAATATTGGGAGACCTCAAAGACTGCTCGAGCAAATAAAAAATGAAATGGACAATAACTCATTTGAAAAACTAACTCCCAACGTATTTCAATGTGATATCCGAACCCGTACTATGCTTAATTATGTATGTGATTATGTGTTTGATATGAATTTGCAAGTTAAGTATGTGAATTATGTGAGTTTAGAATCATCTCTGTTGAATGTAGGAATATTTGTTGCGATTGGAAATTTGAACTGAAAATAGAAAGCCTTAGAGGCACGACAAACCAAAACCAACTCCACAACTGTGATTAGCATGATTTTTAGAGCCACAATGAATTTTGAAAAATTACGATTCGTAATGTTTTAATTAAGTTTTATGAGTTAAGTTATATCTATGTATTTGGCTCTTGAGTTCATCATTTTGATTGAGAGCTTGCTTGAGTGAGTTAGAGAAAGAGGAAGACGAAGAGCTAGGGTTTTGGAAGAGAATCAAAGGGCAAACCTTAGACTTGAGTTAAGGTATGATAGTCTACTTATAATCTTTGTCTCTAACTCATCTTTGGCATAAAATAAAGAAGAAATTGGGAATTTTGAGCTAGGGTTTTGAGTTGTGTAAGGGTTTGAAATAAAATCATGAAATCTCTTTATTTTTGTTTGATTTGAGTTCATTCTTGTGATTGATCCATGAAACAAACTCTAAATGGTTTATACAACCAAGATTTGTTAGAAGATTCACCATGTTTGTTTGTATTTTGAGCTTATGTATGACATTCATGATTGTATAAAAAAGATGAGTCAATGAATTTGATGTTGAAGCAACAGTGATATGTTTAAAGTGAAATTATACCTAAATCATGCAAGTATATCAGGTTTTTGAGTGAGTTTTGCTTTGATTTGGACATGGAGATGAGTTTGGGAAGTTTGCATTTTTATACCATTTTCGGGCTGTCTGATTTTGCCTAAACCGCACGAGCGACCATGGGCTCCATATGAGTGGAACATGAAGAAAAATAAAGGTTTTCATTCTGCTCTTTGGGCACTCGAGCGGCCAGTGTTTCCCCTCGAGCCGCTCAAGCAAATTTGGGCCGCACGATCAGTTAAGACTTTCGAACGTATGGAACCCCTGTTTCAGCCCAACTTCAAAAAGGCATATCGGCTTCATCCAAACCCCATTTTAAGCGATTCTTGAGCCTAAATTCAAGCCTTGAAAGTCTAGTTTCTAATGGTGGTGGTCTCAAATCCATATTCTAAGTACACAAATAGATATGCTCAAATTAGTGAATGCTATTTATTTTTTTTAACCGTTTCATGCCATTTCCTACCCTAACTTAATTTCCTTTCGCTTCCTTCTATTTCCTTAAACCTTAAATACGTAAACATGATATTTTTAATGAAAAACAAATGAAATTTTTGTAGGAAACATCAATTTAAATCATGAACATTTAGGGCCATTTAAAGTACATCTTTGGCACATGCTTCATACGTGATTCACATGTAGAGAAGACTAGCATTAAACACTTGAGAGAAATTAAAGAATGGGGAACGATTGAATGGATATGTAATGAATAAATCAATTGAGTGAATTGAATGCAATGTGTTTTGCAATGTTATACTTGGTTATGTTTCTGCAGGCTAAGTCGTTAAGGAGTATCATCCGACCAAGCACTATAAGTAATTTATTTGTAATGGTATTTTCATATGAAATACTTTGGAATTGTGAAACTTATGCTTTGTATAAATTATGTTCCTTGACGAGTGTTTCCAAAATGATAAAATATGCTTGAAATATTCGGAGTAATTATGCTATGGCAAGTTTCTGAAAGAATGTTTTGATAAGACTGAATGAGTTTCCTTTTGAGCAACGATTATGATAAATTGGGAAAATGTACTTTGACCCTTAGTAACTGTTATTTGTCTGTGAGCCGCCTTGGACGTTTTGTATAAGCTAATGATTCGCTATGAACGTTATGTATGATGTCAATCTTTGACAAATGTCCTATATGGTAATTCAGCAAGTTAATTAAGGCCTAAATCATGGTGAGTAATAGTATCGTACATATATATTTTGATTGTGCACCTTGAGCTATGAAGGTTAATTGAGCCAACATTGTATTTTGATCGAAATGAATGAATTTCATAAATGTTATATGACATGTCACTACAAGAAAATGCATGTTTGGCGACTAAAATTGGCGACCAAACCAATTTTAGTCGCCAAAAACACCACATTCAGCGACAAAAAACAGCTTTAGTCGCCATTGATTCAACCTTTTTAGCTACTAAAGTATTGTAGTCGCCATATATTACAATTGGCGACCAAATTTCCATTTAGTCGCTGTTTAAGAGCAGTTTAGGCTACTAACATTTAATTTTGTCGCCATATTGTATCATTTGGCGACTAAACACTTTTTGTCGCCAAAAAAAGGACATTTTTGTCTTACTTTCTGCGACCAAATCTGGGTTAGTCGTTGTTTATTCAGTATTACCGACGATTTTTTTAATTTAGTAGCCAAAGAGGCATCTTTAGGTGACCAATTGTTTGTCGCCGTTAAGGTTTTTGGCGACAAATAATCGTTTAGTCGCCAAATGTTCGAAAAAATTTTTAGAGGGAAAATAAGTAATTTTCGCGCTCAGTACATATATATTACACAGTTTTTTTGTTCTCTTCTGTCTCACACACCGACATCAACATACCAAACCCGTCCCTACCAAACCCGTCGCTCACCACCGGCGATCATCACCATCGCAGGCCACCGGCGCTCGCCACGACCACCACTGCAAATCGGCGATCAGCACCACCGGCCATCATCACCATCGCAGGTATGTTTCTGTCGTCTCTTTCCTTCTCTGTCGATCTAGTTCTATCTGTTTGTCGATGTCTCTCACATCCCCTTCTCTCACGATTAATTTTAGGGTTTGACATTTCATTTCCCTTAATTTCATACACAAATTTGTGGAGGACTATCTGGTTCTATCTGGTTCTATCTAGAGGACATTTCATTTCCCTTTATTTCGTACACAAATTTTATGGTTTGTCCTTTCATTTCCCATTTATTTCGTACACAAATTTTTAGGGCTTTTCCTGATTTCGTGAATGGGTGTGGTTGAAATTGCGATTGTCCATTTGGATTTTGGATTGTTGATTTTGGATTCTGTTTGTATCGTTTAAATGTGCCTCTGTTTCTGCGATTTCTATGTTCCAAATGTGCCTCTGCTTTTTCTCCCTTTCAGGTTTTACCATGCTTATGACAACTATATGACTTATGCTTTTCCGGTCAGTTCTAGTTCCCACTATATGAGATATTATTTATATTTGATGAATATTATGAAGTTGTGGTCTATTGGTTCTGTAGCATGATGAACTAAAGCCTCTAGCCAAAACATTCACCGACTCCCTTGTCGAGCTAGGAAATTTGAAGGTAATTATTTATTTTTTAAATCTGTTGCAGTGTTCAGCTTTAAATGGATAATTTAAAATACCTACTGTTTCAAATTTTAGCTCGAACATTTGCCACAACAGCATCATGGATCTGCCCTCACACTTGTAGAATCGCTATCCAGGTATGATATACTCTTTCTTAGAGACAAGTTCTTAAAAATCAATGTAGTTGTATTTTTATCTTATATGCCCTTCTTATGCTGTCACCAAATATCTTTTTATTTCATTTTATTACTAATTGTGCCACTGAAGTATTTGTAACAGAGTATATGTTAATTCTGTTTCTGTTTCTCAGCCTTGTTATCATTGGGGAACAACACAGAATTTGAAACGGGCTGTTCTTTGGCTTTCTGAAAATCTAACTTTTGATGTTGATGCGAGGATACATCTTTTTGAGGTATTTTAATTTTTTTCATTTAGGATTTAGTGAAGTTGTTTGAGTCAAAGTTTCATTTAATGTGGCCTCAGTTTGCTAATGAAATAAAGCTTGAGCAATGTCGCTTTTTCTTTTTCTTTTGTTTTATTCTTTAGCAGGGAGTGCTAAATGAAGTTGCATTTGAAGTATCAGATTGTCTTTAATGGTGTTCTCACTATTGTGTAGTGCAACATAAGAGTTCTTGGAGGACTTGTTTCTGCTCATATTCTTGTAACTGATTCTACAAACAACTTGGTCCAAAGAAATTATAAGAATCAACTTCTTATCCTGCCTGAAGATTTACGACGGCGCTTTCTACCTGCTTTTGATACCCCCACTGGATTGCCATATGCATGGATTAACTTGAAGGTACTTCTTATATCATGCTTAACTTATAAGACAAATTCCAATTCCCCAATTGTTTACAAATTGTTATGTATCCAAGATGTTTTACTTAACCTGGTAAAGTAGCTTTGAATTTTTTGTATCTCTTCAGAATCATCAATGGTGCTTTGCATTTGCAGTAGTACCATGGTTTCAAATGTTTGCATTGTGTTAGCGTTAACGTTTGGGAATTTTGTATACGTATACTATGTGGAACTCATGCCATATTGACTGTACGATGATATTTCCATTGTGTTGGCGTTATTTGTCACACTTAAGTATCTGATCAATATCACTTGTATATTCACAAGTTTTTGCCCCTCTTCTCTTGCAAACACTTGAGGTTGATTTCTACAGGTGAAAATAATTTCTTTAAAAGTCAGCCTCAGTTGAGAAATCTGTGGCCACCACATAAGAAATTAGGATTACAAAGTGTGATTAATCAATAGCCTAAATATTGTCACATCTTTCTACTGCAAACCTTTGGAACTCCATAGAAACAATAGAGGATAATCTACTCAATATGATGATTAAAGAACATGGTCGTCCTTTCACGCATAATTCATTGAAAACAGATGAAAAAAATCTCTCTGATCTCCTGGGATAGCTGTACCCTTTCAACCATACCGTTGATTTTGAAAACACCTAACTTGACAATCTAAGTTGCACAAGAAGTTGCACTATCTTCCTGTAGAATGGGACAATAATAGAATGGCAATGGCCAATGTAAGGCACCAAACCATATTCTAACTACATTTCATTTGTCTAGGCCCTCAATAGGCTTGGGCCATCTCTAGTTCTTGAGTGCTCCTGTGATATTGTTTAGTGTCAAAATTAGAGTGAAAAATCAACTTGTCTCTAGTTCTTGAGATATTGTTTAATATCAAAATGAAAGTGAAAATATTTTGAAAATATGTGAGAGAGTTTTAAAAGTAATATACAAAGTGTTTCGGAGATTGATGAAATTTATTGTTTGTTTCTGATGTTGTAATTTTTTTGTGGTAATCTAAATTGAGAATATGACCTATGCAATAATAAATAAACCCATTTTATAATGACAAGAGAGTCACAGTGGCCATTGTTGATGTTCCTATCTAAATGTTCAGATGGTCATCCTACTATTCGGTAAACAGAATGTTCTTAACAAGCTACTGCAACTTATACAAAAAATATAGATCATATTAGCATAGAATTGTTTTCTAAAGTTGGTATGCAAATATTTTTTTCGTGATGTGCTTCGAATAGGTTTTGAGGCATAATCAACGCGACATTGCAGCAGCCAACCTGGTGTTTTGATACATTACACAAAGGACCGTGACGTAATTTCCATAAGGTAACCAAGTCCAATTGAATGTCATTTCAGATTTAAGAGTAATTGAAGAAACCAAGAGAAAGTAGAATGAATTTTGATTTAGTACAATATAACTAGTACACTATAACTAGTACAAAGGAGCTTTGATTTCAAAATTCTAACTGTGAAGAATGAATATGTGATATTAAGTTTCTTAATAATAAATCTATACAAATAAAACCAACACTAATTTGATGAACAAAGCTCCACATTTTCCACCTGATTTGGCCTAGTTACAGGAGCTGATGCAACCTGATGCAACCTGGTTAGATGAACACTTTGACAGGCTGCCCACAACAGATTATCAACCTGATTTGGCCTAGTTACAGGAGATGATGCAAACAAAGTTTTGATCCTTAAAACCTCCACATTGGTTTGGGTCTCAACATTTTCTTTTTTATTTATTTTTTCTTCAACCCGTATGTCTCTCACGGGTCATTATTTTTGTTTTATTTTATTTTATTTTTATTTCTATAACCCAATTTAAATTTTCATTCATAATTCATGGGCTATTTCTTCATTTGTTAAAGACATGGTGAAGAAATTGAAAAGAAACAGAGTAAGAAAAGAGATAGTAGTCGGTTTTCTTAATTGTGCTACACATTCAAATGCTTGGCTACTATCATATTTTTATTTATTTTATGTGCTATTCAAATTGTGTTGATATATTATTATTTTTTTTCAATAGGAATGCAAAATGTGTTGATATATTATTTTTTTTTTTCAATAGAAATGCAAAAAAATATGTGAAAGATAGACCCCGCAAAAGACTGATGACTACTTTTTTCTACCGACAAATTGCTTGGATTGTTAATGGTATTTATTTATTATTTAGTAAAATACGTAAAAGATCTCAGATTGTTCAGATTGAAAACATGCAAATAGTTTAGATTAAAAATAAATCAGAAATTTAATATTTAAATTTCTAAAATTAAAAACTCAATAGTTTATTTTTTATAAGTATTAAATTCTAAGTTTTATTTTTTATTTTTGGTAATTTTTTCTAAATTTTAATGATACCTAAAATTATTCAAAAAGATTGGCTTATGCGTGGTGGCAGCATACAATGTTTCTAATATATTTATATTCCCTAGGGTCACTTAAATGTTGATGATGCATTAAATTAATTAACTAATTGACATTATACGTAGAAATGATAACTGCATTTTAATCCCAACATTATTTACACTGTGCCTTCAGGCACGGGCATACACTAGTCTTCTATCTATACTATTATAAAGTGAACACCTCTTATGATGTCTTGAAGTTTAATGATACCTAAAATTATTCAAAAAGATTGGCTTATGCGTGGTGGCAGCATACAATGTTTCTAATATATTTATATTCCCCAGGGTCACTTAAATGTTGATGATGCATTAAATTAATTGACATTATACGTAGAAATGATACCTGCATTTTAATCCCAACATTATTTACACTGTGCCTTCAGGCACGGGCATACACTAGTCTTCTATCTATACTATTATAAAGTGAACACCTCTTATGATGTCTTGAAGTTTTGTTTCTTATGCTGCCACGTGTGCACTTTTTTAATTGAAAATTAAAAAAAATTAGATAAATAAGTGGAGGAGATTTGAACCTTAAACTTATATCAAATAAATAACACTCTTACCACTTGACTAACACACAATATATAATAAATTTTTTATTTTATTTTCATTTATTTAAATAACACACCCATCGCCATCCGCTAGTATAAATATATGGAAAGAGAGTGCTAATAGCTACCGCAAAAAGGTCTCCAATAGAAGAAGAGGACGGAGATGAAGCCCGGAAACTCAGATGGCGGAGCAACCGCTCCGCTCCTCCCCAAGCTCCAGCCACCGCCGGAAGATCCTTCTTCAAGCGGTGGCGCGTCAATTTCCGGGGCCGTATTCAACGTTTCCACGAGCATGATAGGCGCCGGAATCATGTCAATTCCGGCGACTTTCAAGGTATTGGGCGTAATTCCGGGCTTCGTTCTCATCCTAATCGTCGCTTTCTTGGTGGAGATCACGGTGGAGTTTCTTCTGCGGTACACGAATTCCGGCGAGTCGATCAGTTACGGCGGTCTCATGGCGGAGTCATTCGGCAAATTCGGATCCATTGCTCTGCAAGTTTGCGTCATGGTTACGAATCTCGGTGCACTCATCATTTATTTGATTATAATCGGTAAGCTTTCATATAACTTTGTGTTCTAACTGAGACTTTCAATTTTTGAATTCTACTTTCTCTCAATTGTGATTTCTAGTTTCTGTTTCCTTTTTGTTCTGTTTTGTGTTTTGGTTTCAAGATTGGTTAATTTGTGGGGTTTGAAAATAACTTTCACAATTTTAATATAATTATATTAGTTTTATTTTATTTTATTTTTTATTTTTAAAATAAAGTTAAAAATATCTGAACTACTACAAATAATGTAAAAATATAAAGATAAAGAAAGAGTGATATATCTTTCAGTGAAATATGTAAGTGAAGTTAAGATTATGTGTGGTAGTGTAATTATACCAAAATTAGGATAATTATATTAAAATTATAAAATTTATTATATTTTTTTAAAATCCCAATCCCAACAAATTTACTTTATTTTCCTTGATGTTCAGTATTGTGTTTTAATACAGACGATCAGGATACACTCTGCTGGGTTTAGATTAGGAGTGATGCTAGCGACACGTGATTTAGTGAGGTCTCGGTGTATTAAAACTTTTGCTCTCCTCATGTGATATGGTAGTGTTTTTTATTTAAAAAAAAATTAAAACCATGACCATGGTTTTAAAACAAGAGAATTCATACCACTCAAGTTAAGAACATATTATAATATTAATTTTATTATTATTATTTTTTATTCTTACATATTTAAATTACACACCCGTTAGTTTTATATTTTACATAAATATTAACCCTTTATGAGTTTGGGTCTAAATTGTTAATAAATTTTTTGAGTCCTTCAGTATTTTTATTAGATTAGTCCAGATGCAATGGTACACCATCTGACAAGATGTCTGAATTGAGATAAGAAGCATCATTTCAGAAGCTTTGATTGTCATTTTTTTGTTTTACTTTTAGGAATAAAGGTCATGTTTGATTCAATTTTTTATATTTTTTTATTTGTTTTATTATTTTATATAAAAATAATTTAACAATTCCTCATTATCAATCCCCTCACTAACAATCCCCTCACTATTAATCCCCTCATTATCAATCCCCTCCATTCTATCTCCCAAAACAAACGGGCCCTAAATTGTTAATAAATGTTTTGAGTCCTTCAGTATTTTTATTAGATTAGTCCAGATGCAATGGTACACCATCTGACAAGATGTCTGAATTGAGATAAGAAGCATCATTTCAGAAGCTTTGATTGTCATTTTTTTGTTTTACTTTTAGGAATAAAGGTCATGTTTGATTCACAAGACTAATAGTGAGATATTAATAATAATTCTATCAAATTAGTGTGGTATTCACTATCCAATTGGATTAATAGGATAAATTATCCATAGGATTAATAATCTCAGCCTTACCTCATTACTAATAATCCTACAAATTTGTTAGATTAATTATCCGTTAGATGAATAATCTTAAACCAAAATGTTAAAACAAACATAGAAAAAGATTCTGTTTGTTGAACTAGGTTGTTATTGTTAGAAGAGAACTGAACTCTAGGTGATACAGTAAAGAAATGATAAGAATAAAATTTAGGGTAATGCTATGTACCTATCCACCTTAAAAAGGAATATATATCATATGTAAGTTATGATATTTGTAAGTTTAGGGTTCGTTTGGCTTTGGCTAATGTAGTCAATTTTTTTGTGTTAAGACTTTTTTAGCCTCGTTTGGGTTTTGTGTTAGGGTTTTTTTGACTTTTGTGAGAGAAAAAGTGTAATGATTATGGGTAAAAATAATATTTTGTCTTATTGACTTTTGTAGTCAATTTTGTCTTTTTGTGATTATTTAGCCCCAAAAATAAGGCCAAACCACGGCTTAATAATTTAATTAACACAAATGTCATAACTTAATTTTACGAGAGTTATGTCTAAAAAAATGAGTCATAATCAGACATTACATAAGTTATAATCAAAATAATGTCATAATCAATTTATAACTAACACAACAATAGGTCATAATAACCAAAGACCAAAAAGTCCGTAACTAAGTTGCATATTATACACACTTTTGGGGTGGGTACTATAAAATTTCTCTAAAATTATTATCGGATAAGAATATAAATAATTATGATTTCTTATTTATTGTGTTCGGATTAATAATAAATAATAATAAAAATTATCTAAGTCTTATTTTATTTTTAATGTTACGTATTTAAATGGTTAATTTAGGTATTTTTGAAGGAAAAAAATTTAGAAAGTGAATTTAAATTTGGGTGAATTACACTAACAGTCCCTATAATTTGGGGCTTGTGTCATTTTGGTCCCTGACTTTTTAATTGTGACACATTTGACCCTGAATTTTGAATCTTATTCCAAATAAGAACAATTGAATATATTATTGGATTTTTCAAGGGCAAAATTGTCAATTTGATAAAATATAAATTAATTTGACAAAAATAAATGTTAAAAAATTATATTTGAATTTTTAAAAATTATTTCTACCTACTAAAGATAAAATTATATAAAATTGATAAATCTTTAGACATTTATTTATTTATTTTTACCAAATTAATTTTTATTATGTATTTGGATGATGATCATGTAAAATCAATTTTTAAAAATTAATCATATAATTTTTATTAATTTTTATCAATTTTACATAATTTTATTTTTGGTAGGTAGAAATAATTTTAAAATATTTTTTTGACATTTATTTTTGTCAAATTAGTTTATATTTTATCAAATTAACGATTTTGCCCTTAAAATTAAGCAATGGTATGTTAATTGTCCTTATTTGGAACAAGATTCAAAATTTAGGATAAAATGTGTCACAATTGAAAAGTCAGGGACTAAAGTGACACAAGCCCTAAACTATAGGGACTATTAGTGTAATTTGCCCTTTAAATTTTCACTAAATTTCATCAATTTTGATGAGAAATAAAACATACATTTTAATAAAGTTATTTTTCTCGTCATTTATCACTAGCTCTCAACATCCAAATAAGTGATAGAAAATTCTGTGTCACTTTATCTATCTATACTATTATAAAGTGAACACATAATATGGTGTCTTGAAGTTTGCTTTACTCTCCTCATGCCATGTGGCAGTCTTCTTTTTTATTTTTTTAAAAAAAAGTTAAACAAAGAGATGAACAAGGCTTGAACCCATGACCATGGGTTTAAGTATGAAGACTCATACCACTTAAGCTAAGTACATTATAATATTAATTTCATTATTATTTTCTTTTATTCCTCTTTATTTAATTTGCACACACATCGTGTGTGCCCAACCGCTAGTACTATTATAAAGTGAACACCTCTTATGGTGTCCTGAAACTTTACTCTCCTCATGCCATGTGGCACTATTTTTTATTTTTTAAAAAAAATTAAACAAAGAGATGGGCAAGACTTGAACCCATGACCATGGGTTTAAGTACGAGGACTCATACCACTTAAGCTAAGTACACATTATAATATTAATTTCATTATTATTTTTTTTTATTCCTACTTATTTAAATTGCACGCACATCGTGTGTGCCACCCACTAGTTTCTATTATGTTCTCACTAAGCTTCTCCATCTATATGATTTGAAAGTTAATAATATAATAATAGAAATTAAAAATATAAGATTCATAATTTCTTAATAATCATATCGATGTCTAGTTAAGTAATTTTTTTATTCATGTTCTACAAAAATTACACCAAATACTTTTACACATACTTCAAAAAATTAAGGAAACTCTTAATCTACGACCTATAAATAAATTAAGGAAACTCTATGGTACACACCTGTAAACTCTAAAAGTGTGTACCATATACACCTATTATATGTTGTGATTGGTGTATATTATGTATTTTTGTGATAAAAATTACATAATTTTTTGATAGAGTTGTGATAATTTGTGGTTTGAAAATGATATTACACATTTTGTGATAATGTTACGCATTTTTGTGGTAATGATTTTTTTAATCCAAACATTTTCTAACCATAAAATGCGTAACATTACTACAAAAATGTGTAATTTTATCTCTGAACCACAAATTATTATAATTCTACACATACACAAAAAAAAGTAACATTTATTACAAAAATACGTAACATATATCACAAAAATACATAATAAGGATGCATATGGTGTACACCTTTTGAGTGGTGTGTACCATAGCATTACCGAATAAATAAAATCAAATTTTTTTAAGGGCATTGTGTAAATATTTGTGTTTTGAGTTTACTAAACGTTAAATGCACCGCACTACAAATTAGCTACCTTAAAAGGTCACACAAGCAAACCACTTTGAATTTGAGACCATCAAGCTACCCAATGAATTGAACCAGAAAATTATTCATAAAAAGATATTGAATAATTGGGATACATTTTAAATATGGGTCTTATTAAATAGAATTAAATTCAAACCGAGATTTGAATAAATTTCTAGACAATTTTTCTAATTTCATAACTTTTCTATGAGACTATAGGTCGGTCTTGGTGATGTATGATGTGATATAGTGTTATTAAAGGTGACAGGCACACCAAGGTGCCAAGGTTTCCTAGGCTCAAGGCGCAAGGCGAGGCGCACCTTATACATAAAAAAATATATAATTTGATAGAAATAAATAATTTAAGGTTCAACATAAGCAAAATGAAATTTTAAACATTTAAAAATATATATATCCACAAATACTATTATTTCAAAATAGACAAATGAACAATATTTCAAAATTGAACATAAAACATGAATAAAATGAGAGGGGAGGAGAAGAATAAGAAAGGGAGGGGGGCTGGGCGAAATAGGTCAGTCTAAAGAATGATAAGAAAGAAAAGAAGACAAGAGAATAAGCATAAGAAGATGGAAGAAGAAGAAGACAACATCATCACAGCCATATGAAGAAGAAGATAGCAACGTAGAGGAGAAAAGTAGAGAAGACAATAATGTAGGCAAGAAGAAGAGAAGAGAATGAGACATAAACATAAGAAGAGAAGGAAAAAAAAAAAAAAAAAAGACAACGTGAAGAAGAATTTTTGGATTTGCTGGACTGGATAATGAAGACATGCAGTATAGTAAAGTATTCTTCTGAGATTAGGAATTAGGGTTAATTTTTCTTTTATCATTGATTTATGGTTGAATGACCAATGTATTGGCATGTGTAAGAAGAGTAGGGATCTTTTGTAGGTACATCATCTTAAATCAATGGTCAAATTTTAAACACAACCAATTAAAACAACAATAAAAAAACTCTCAAGACTTGGGTCTTACTGTGCCTTGGACCAGTCATGTGCCTTATTGAAGTCGCCTGGCCTAGAACACTACAAAGCGCAAATCTTGGGCTTGAATGGGACTTAGGCCTAGGCGCACGCCTAGGTGCGCCTTATTGAAGTCGCCTAGCCTGGAACATTACAAGGCGCAAACTTTGGGCTTGGATGAGACTTGAGCCCCTAGGCACACGCCTAGGCACGCCTTTAATAACACTGATGTGATACATAACTAGAGTTGTTTGGCTAGGCCAAAATCTAGACTGTCGTTGGAAAGAGGTGGTATCTTTATATTTTCTCACAATACTCGTAAAGTCGAGAGCCATGTATGTGAGAGATAGAGGAAATTGTTGGGGGAAAAAAATTTAGAAGTAAATGGTAAATTGACTGCATTCGAATGAAATGGTGGAACCCTTCATGCTGTCTCTACAAAGAAGTGACTCAAGAATCATGATTCTTTAGAATGGTTATGAACACTTCTATAAATATCATCTCATTTCATGACATTCATTTTAAGAGATAGAGAGTTTTGTATTCATACATTATGTGTCAAGCCAAGTATAAAAAAGAGATTGCATAACACAAATTGGTTTGTTGTATTGTACACACAAAAAGTTGTAAAATTTCTGTGTATGGTGATCGTTGTATCTTAGAGCCAAGATGTCCATTAATCGCAAGCACCAAAAGGCAAGAGCGAATTTCTATCTTAAAGACACAGTGTTTAAACACTGGTCTCGGTCACAATCCGTTATAACTTTTGCAGAATTTCTGTAAAGAGTTCTGTTTTATTTTATTATATATTTGCATTAAATTGATTTTTACAAAAATATTTTTGGTAGCCACACAACCTAAGGTTGTAATAGAGGCATTCCTCGGGTGATTTCCAGCTTCTTCCTGTTGATTCCCTACCCCTATAAAGTAAGGGGAAAGGGTATGGGACTAAAGCCAAGGCCTTTTAGGCAAGACGAAATGGTGGGCACGAGCGGTTTGGTGTTCGAGCCTATTGGTCAGATGTGACAACTACTTCACTTATTAGATTAGTATTAGCCGCCTACCTTGGAATGAAATTTTCTAACAAAAATCAACATAATATACCAAAGTTTGTGGGTAGAGGTTTAGCACCGTCCTCAAGATTTAGTAGGTGAACTTACCAATGATGTTATATGTGCATAGAAAAAATCAATGGCAGGCTCAAATTTATTTTAAATGTTGTGTAAAATGAATTTGGATGATGCCTTTTAAGTTTTATTATGTGTACAAAAAACATTATTGTTGCATACAATATTTCATCAATGGGAAACATGCCCTGGCTCGCCATGCCGTGACCCAATCAGGTAGGTGATAATGTATATAATTGAATGAAGACAGATTTTGCCTCGCAAGAAATGGGTTATGAATAGATATAATCTAATTAATTTATTAATTATTGAGATATGATAGTGAGTACTGTCAACTATGTGAATTTTGAACATTGTTATTAATTATTATTATTATGATTAGGGGATGTGCTGTGTGGGAATCAATCTGAAGGAACATTGCATTTGGGGATTCTGCAAGAGTGGTTTGGCATCCAGTGGTGGAATTCGCGCGCATGTGCGCTCCTTGTCGTCGTGCTCTTCGTTATGTTTCCATTCCTGTTATTACGTAACATAGGTTAGTATACATAGACCTATTAATTACAAACCTTGTCAATTTGTGCGTATCTCAACTAATCCTAGAATTTTGAAATTAGTGATTAGACAAAACTCCCTGAGGTGAGTCAAACTCAAGACTGGTCAATTCCTTGAGTTTAATTATAAACATTGTTAGTTTTACGAAGGAGGGAGATTCTCTCCTATCTTTAATAATTCCAGGTGGTGGGTTGGCTGCGGTAAGCATTTTGTGGCTCATTATAGATTTATATATTGATAATTTAAATCGTTTATTTTGTAAAATTATCTATAATTATTTATGTAAAAAATTAAATTGATTGGACAACCATTACTCACATGATCAAATCATGTCTTGAAAAATCGAAACGACAAATGTGATTTTGATAATAGGACTATCTATTTTTTTTAGAAGGCAATGTGATTTGATCAAGTGGTTATAGTTGTTCGATTAATATGATATTTTTACATAGCTCAAAAAACCTTATTAGATAAGTAGTTCAAACCATCGATGTGGATACCTAGTGAGCTCTCTAAGGACTGACAGCACACCCTCTACCAAAAAAACTATTTTTTTTGAGGGTGTAATTACAACGAGAAATGTTCATTGTATTATGCACCAACATTTTTTAAATTTTTTTGAAAATTGTTGTGATAATTTTGACAACGAAAATAGGCTTCTAGTTTTTATTTTAAAATAAAATTAGAAATAATAACAGTGATATATATAAACATTAAAAAGGTCTGCATACACTTAATTAAAATACAAGAATGTACATGCTGATATGTATATTTTTTTTAGTAGTTTATAGTTTTGTATATTTATTCTTTCTCTAACACATTATCAAACACGCCTGTGTGTGGTTTCGCAGATAATTTCTTGATAATGTGTTGAAGTTATTTTCGATTCATTTTAGTTCACTCTTAATGCTTTTCCTGTGACAGAATCCCTAAAGCATGCTTCAGCAGTGTCCATTCTACTAGCAGTGTTGTTTGTGGCCATATGCTCAGCAATGGCACTTCATGCAATGTGGGAAGGGAAAACTCAAAGGCCAAGACTAGTACCAGACTTTGCCAATGGAGTGTCTGTCTTTGATCTTTTCACTACCATTCCAGTATTTGCCACTGGCTTTGGATGCCATGTAAATGGTAAGTCTCTCAGTCTTTGTGCTTTTTCTTGAGTTTTGTTGTGTTTGGATGTTTCTATTTAGGCCAGAAAAATGAAAACCCACATCGATTTCTAGATTTATCTTTTCCCTATTGCTGTCGTAGAATTGCATAAGAAAACTATGCCCGTGAAAAGTAAAAGTTATGTACCTTTAAAAAGTATTGGAGAAAATGAAATATGTGGTATATATTTGAACTTGATATTTAGTATCTCAAATCTAGTCACACATTGCGTTTTTTAATTACTTTTATGATACTTTTTTTTGAGTGCATAGTATTATTGTTCTTATAAATGACTATTTTATTATTCTCAATCTAGGTTGTTTTTCTACTTGTTTCCCAAACACAGATTATTTCATAAGAAATATGCTTTTCTGCAGGAGGAGAGAAGTCTTGTTAGGTTCAGTTGGGCTTGTGGGTCTTATCACAATCCCACTTTAATGATCCGAATTGTTCATTTTGTAAATTTATAGTTGTATTAAAATAAAAAGAGAAAAAGAAATAAAATTGATCCGATAATTATAGCTATATGATTTCATCAAATTTGTTTTTAAAACAATGGATGACAAGTATTGTTTTGAAAATAATCGTCTATTTTCCTTAAGACTAATCTGAACAATTTTTGTTATTATGATTATCAAATCAATTTGATTTTTTTAAAATTTTTTTTATGAATGATCTACATTACAAGATGAATGACTCAAATCATCGAAGTGAGATCTATAATAGGGTAGTAGTCCAACTGGACCAAATCAAATTTCTTTCCAACTAGAGAGAAAGTTAGAGCCTTTCCTAAAGCCTAAAGTTGTATTTTCAAAATATTCCAGAAGTGTTTTGAAAACACAATTCTAAAAACAACCCAGGTCTAAAACATAAGTTGAAGTTGAAAACAACCCAGGTCTAAAATATGAAATCAACCAAAGTCTATAGTTGTATTGTAGAGGCTCCCATTTTGAAAATATGACTTCAATTATTGAAGTAGTGTTTTGAGAACACAAATTTGAAAACAACCCAGGTGTAAAACATATGTTCAAAACAACGCGCATTTGATAAATATGTTTTCAAGAAACCCGGGTTTGATAAATAAATGACTCATAATTATAAGTTGCATTGCAGTTCATCCAGTGAGAGCAGAGCTCAGTAGACCTTCTGATATGAGCTCAGCGGTCAGAATTTCTCTACTACTCTGCGTTATCATCTACTTCGCAGTAGGTTTCTTCGGATACCTTCTATTCGGGGATTCAATCATGTCCGATATGCTCGTCAATTTCGATCAAAATTCTCAAACAGCCATTGGTTCGCTGCTCAACGATGTTGTTCGGGTCAGCTATGCCATCCACCTCATGATGGTTTTCCCAGTGATGAATTTCTCTCTGAGGGCCAATGTAGATGAACTTTTCTTCCCAAGGAAGCCTGTGTTGGCCAGAGACACCCCCAGATTTGTATCTCTCACTTGTGTTCTGCTCACAGTCATATACTTGGTGGCAATAGCAATTCCGAACATATGGTATTTCTTTCAGTTCATGGGGACTACCACTGTCATGTTCCTCATGTTCATCTTCCCAAGTGCAATAATTCTAAGGTACTCTCTCAAAACATTTATCTATGTTTCATTTACGGTACAAAAATGATATAGACACAGAACCAACTACATGTTCATCCACCGAACAGGTATGATTAGATTTTGTCTGAATTTGAGGAGGTGAAATTTGATTAACCCAATATGCCCGAATCTGATATGTGATCAAATGTAAAATAATAATATCCCACACCTGTTCTCCATCCAGAAATAGAACTGACTAATCCTAAATCAAAAGGTCGAGAAACTCAATACCAATATTTTTAACAACTTGGAGCCGGATCTAAGTGTATTAGTGTCTATAATTGATTTCTTGTGTAATATTAGTCAATAGGGCCTCATTGGCAAGTGTTGCAAGATCTCGTGCATTGGAACTTTCTCAGCACTTGCCACCTCCTGGGCGAGACATTTAACTAGGAGCCTCTTTTCCTTTTGTTCGACTTGTATGTGTTAAGCATAAGCTAGTGTTACTTATGAGCCAGGATTAAATTTCTAATCCAAATTTATTCATGTTTTCTATAAATAAATAAAAAAAATGATTTGCATTATTAAATCAAATAGACAAGAAAGAGTAATGTTAGTGCTTATGCAGATTAAAAAATTGAGACTTTATAAATAAATAATCTGATGGGGTTGCATTTTCAGTTCGGATGTTTAGAACATGTCAGATTCAGGTTATCCTTCCAACCAATCAACTGGATCCAGATCAGGTCGGATTTTGCAAATTTCATATCCAGATGGGATTCAAATTTGCACAAATCCAATCTTGGATTCTAATTTGTTGACAGGTCTATTTGCATCTACAACTGCAAACTATGTTATGCTTGTTCGGAAGTTGATTATGTAATATAATTGGTTCTATGTTCGTAAGCCTTAAAATTAATTAGTTATTATTTATTTTTATTTTTTTTGGGGACAGAGATGTTCATGGTATATCTACGAGGAGGGATAAGATCACAGCGGTGGTGGTGATCGTGCTGGCCGTGGGAACGAGCTTGATTGCCATAGCCTCTAATGTGTACAGTTCAATTAGCAAAAAGTGAATTTTCTTTTCTCTTTGTGTTTTTCATTTTCTTCCATTTTTCTTGGTCTGGAGAGGATGATAGGTTTGAAAGTAGATATAGTCACTACACCAGCTTCTGACCAAGACATATTTAATATGATTATTTCCATTGTTCTTCACTGTTGCTAAAATGAAGAAACTATATTTCACCAAAAAAAAAATAAAAAAATAAAAAAGAGATAAGTTACTACCTTTGAAGTATGACTATTTTCTCACTTTGATGTTTAAAGAAAGATTATATCTTAGTTTGATACCAAAGCTATCATACTCTTCCTACTTTGGTCTCAATTTTAACCATTGTTATACTTTTGAGAAGAAAAATACCATGTAACTTGGGGCAGAATCAAGAATTTTGTTCGGGATCTATATGCATAAAAAAATAGAATAATGCTTGGGATCCCTTTTTGGGGGTCACCCCCTCACCCCCTTTTGTCACATGGCAAGTGGTGATTGGAGGAGCAGGAAAAAAAAGAAAAAGAAAAAGAAAATGTAACCAATGAGAGAGAGGGGGTCAAAGGGGTGAGAGGAAAAGGGGAATGAATCATTGTTGAAAAAAATATTAAACTAGTTTTAACACATTATTAATTGAATATAATCTTTTATATAAGCTAAAGAAATATTTCACGAGAAAATTAAATAAATTTAAAAAATAGTTTTTCTTCTTTTGAACTATTAAATCTTAGCACACAATCGGTTAAAATTTTATTGATGTGTAATTCTCCTTACACCGTCCTTTTGTCTCTTTACACCTCAAATTTTCAATTTTTTTAGTTACACTTTTATTCCTTTTCAAAATAAAAAATGCTAGAGGTTTCAAAAATTTTATCAAAAATTTTATCAAATGTCTCACATGGGTGTAGGACTCACATGAGACCCATATTTTGAAGACATTTGGTAAAATTTTTGGTAAAATATTTGGGGTCTCTAGCATTACTCTTTCAAAATTATCAAAATATCCCTCAAGACTTTGACTCTCACCCACCTTTTACTACAATTTCTCTGGTTACCATCAATACATTTGCACTGGTGACCCTTTTCTCATCTCTGGTGAGCTCCTCTGTTAGTTCCTTCCTCTCTGGCGCCAAAACTTATCTGCGATTTCTCTTCTTAACCCTTTCCTTAAACAGTGAACCATTCTGTTGCCCGTCGTCTATTGCCCATTGCAGCCCTCTTCTCCTTCTTCTCCCTCGTCTCCCTTCATGCTTCACTCATCCCCATTGCGAGCCAGTGCCGTCTCCCTTCACTACCACGAAAGCAAACAAGAGATTTCCATAAGAAGATGAGAAAAGAAGAAGATGAAAAAAAAGAAGAGTTGTGTTGGTCGGACGTGGAGGAGAGGATAGTCGTCGGTGAAGAAAGGGTTACAAGTTGACCGCCGGAGGCAGCGACAGTGGTGCCGAATGCTGCCTCCGGCGGTGGTTGGGAGTTAGGGCTAGGATTTGGGAAGATAAGGGTAGGTTTGATATTATGGTAAGTGTAGTGAGAAAGGAAAATGTATAAAAAAAAGAATAATGCTTGGGACCCCTTTTGGGGTCACCCCCTCACCCCCTTTGCCACGTGTCAGGGGGGATTGGTGGAGCAGGAAAAAAAAGAAAAAGAAAAAGAAAAGGTAACCAATGAGAGAGAGAGGGGGTCAAAGGGGGTGGGAGGAAAAGGGGGATGAATCATTACTCTAAAAAAAAATGGTGTAAGGAGTTAATTTTGTAAGTAGAATTATCCTTTATTGATTAATATAATCTAAGTAAATAAAAAGTAAAAGATGATTAATGATGTTGAACGTTACATGTTAATTGATTTGTCTAAATCAATCAAGTGAGGCCAAACCCAATGTCATTGTGAATAAATTGAAGGATGAAATTTTAAATTCTCTAACATTACTTAAAAAAAAGTGTACATACCATTTGATTTTTAATATTGTTTTAATAAAATAGATTCAGATAAAATTGATGTTATTATTTAAAATGTAAAATAATTAGAGATCATTTCACTAGATATTATAAAATACTAATGAAATAAAAGGTTAATGTAGCTATTCCTATTAAATTAAAAAAATTATTATATTATACATTTTACAAATACTCATTGATATAAAATTAATAATAAATTATCAAAAATTAGAGGGGCAGGGCCCCTCCCGGCCCCTACACAGTTCGAACCCTGAACCCATATCTAAGAACAATCCATGAAAGTAGAAACTTATGTTTTTATTTCCTGAAGGATGTGTGTTTTTCGCTTTTAGTTCTTGAAAGGAAAAATATTTTCACTTTAACCCTTCAAAAAAATTGTCTACTAAGTAAAAATAAAAAAGTTTTTCTAATCACAGTTTGTTATATCATTTATCGAAGGGCGAATTACATTAATAGTTTTTATAGTTTGGATCTTGTGTCACTTTAGTTCCTGACTTTTTAATTGTGACATATTTGACTCTAAATTTTGAATTTTGTTCCAAATAAAGACAATTAAAGATACCATAGCTTAATTTCAAGAGTAAAGTCGTCAATTTGATAAAATATAAACTAATTTGACAAAAATAAATGTCAAAAAATATTTTTGAATTTTTAAAAATTATTTCTACACACTAAAGATAAAATTATGTAAAATTAATAAATTTTTTAGACATTTATTTTTTTTCCAAATTAATTCTTATTATGTGTTTGGATGATGATCATGTAATGTGCGGTCGTTTTTATTTTCATTAAATTAGTTTTTATTTTTTCAAAAGTCAAATAAGGCAACAACTTTGATATCATTATTAAACTAATCCATTAAATCAAAAAATCTAAAACTAAAAACATTTCATATATTAAATATATCGGTTACACATTAAAAACCTAATAACCATCCATTACATGATCATCATCCAAACCCATAATAAAAATTAATTTTGTAAAATAAATAAATAAATAAATAAATGTTAAAAGATTTATTAATTTTACATAATTTTATCTTTGGCAGGTAGAAATTATTTTAAAAAATTCAAAAATATTTTTATAACATATATTTTTGTCAAATTGGTTTATATTTTATCAAATTGACGACTTTACCCTTGAAATTGAGCAATAATATCTTTAATTATTCTTATTTGAAACAAAATTTAAAATTTAAAGTCAAATATTTCGCAATTAAAAAATTAAGAATCAAAATAACACGAGTTCGTAACTATAATAACGGTTAGTAATTCACTCTTTATCAAAATATTGTCTTATAACACTTGAGCATTCACTCTTTTTATTACTTTATACTTCTTTTCCATATGCTATGCACCTTCTCACAACTAACCATCTCCTCAGCCCACAACTGATTATACATTTATTTTTTTCTCTTTGCAAAAATGATCACTATTAACGCAACATTTCATCGCAAACCACCTTTACTATACATTTCATGTCTCACTCATTTCATCGTATTTTTCTTTTTGTGTGATATGAGATTGATTTCTTATGATAAGGTGGATTTAGGAATGGGTTTTGGAATGTGGGTTTTGAGATTGAGTTGGGTTTGGATTTTGATTTAGGATTGACAATGAGAAAACTTAAAAATTTTTTGAGAGAAAATTAATTTTCTTTTGAGGGATCAAAGTGAAAATTTATTTTTATAGAGATGAAAGTGAAAATTTTGAAATTTTCAAAAACTGCTATTTAATTTAACGGTAGTTAATAACTGGATCAAAATAAGAAATGACAAATAATTTAAGACTGCTTTAGGTCATCAACATATGCTTCCTCAAGAAAAGTTTGTTTTCTTTCTTTTCATCACCTCCTCGGGAGGAGCAAATTAACGTTTCTAACATTATTCTAAAAATAAAAAATTTAGAAATTTTAAAAATTTTATTAAAATTTTTATCAAATGTCTTACATAGATGTGAAACTTCCATGGTGTGGGTCCAATATTCATGTGAGACATTTGATAGAAATTTTGATAAAATTTTAAGATCTCTAACATTACTTTAAAAATAAAAAATATTAGTGATCCTAAAAGTTTTACTAAAATTTCTACCAAAAATTTCATATGATGTGGGACCTACATGAGATCTACCTCGTATAGATCCCATACTCATACAAAACATTTGATAAAAATTTTAATAAAAGTTTTACTCTTTAAAAACTTGGTTTCTTTAATCTTACGAAGATTGGGTTGGTGGTGGTGCACCCAGGAGTCATCTGGGGAAATGGGAGGTAGCTTATGATGGAGTTGAAGGGGAGCATCTTCAAGGGAATAATTAAACAAAATTTATTAAGTATTTTAGTCAATGTAAATCTAATTTTGAGCTCTAATGAACTAATTATTGAGCTAGCTATTTTACCATCTTATTTTTTTGATATTGAAGAGCCCTAGAGGCTCTCCAAACAATTATGTATATATATATATATATATATTTTAGATTTTTATATATTTATGTTTTGGATTTGAGATTTTATATATATGTGTGTGTGTGTGTATGTAGTAATTTTATATGTTCTTTCAATTCTGTTTGATGAATTACAGAATAATTTATTTTGTATTTTGTATTTTTTCTCTCCTCATTTTACAGGTTTTGTATGTTTGTATGAGCAAATTTATTATTATTGTAAATTTATATTAGTAAAATATCAACAATTAGTATTTTTTTATTTTAAAAATTAATTAAGTTAGTTTAATGATTAACTAAAATAAAGAGCGTGGTTGGAAAACACAATAGCTAAAGTAATTAGGTAAAATAAATAGTGTATTTTTTTTGTACTTTAGCTAGTGAAAAGTAGAGAATGTGATTAGCAAGTTGAGATGCTTGGTCTTGTTTGGATGTTGGTTAATTTAGCTTTTTAGTTAAATTAATTATAAAACGATAAAATAGATTAAAAAGTTAATAATATAAAATGTCACATTCAAATCATAAATTTTTTATTTATTTTTTCTTACAAAAGTTAAAAAAAATTAGCCCAAACAAATTTTTTAGTAAGAATTAAAATAGTTAAAAAATCAAAAAAAAAAAAATTAAAAAACCAACCCAATTTCTCAAACGAGAATGTTGCTAATGCTGGTACAAGTAGTTCAATGGAAAATGTGAGAAAAATTAAGGATACAAACTATGGTGACTCTAGAAATTTTTATGAGTTGTGTCATTTAAATTTTTTTTGATATTGTCTGTATTTTTGATATTTTATTTTTTTATGTTTTCAAAGACAAATAAGAAAAAATTTAAAAACGTGCAATATTTAATATCTTTTAAATTTTTTTTAAGTAAAACAATGATTGAAAATTAAAAAATAATTCTTAAAAAGAGTATTATTTATTTATTTATTTATTTATTCCAAAAATAGTCTATCAATCAATATTTTCATATTAGTTCCTTTTTTTTATTTATAAAAATAAAAAAACTTCTCAAATTATAAATAAAAAGACTAATGTTATTTTAACAAAAAAGACATGAACACAGAGAATTTGGATCCTCTATAATGTCCTCTTTGTAGAGAAACTATTTAAAATTAAAAATAAATTATTTTTTAAAGAGCAATGCATACATAATCACTTTTCTTATCTTATTTTCTCACTCTTCGACAAAACAACGCAGCTCACAACGCAGCTCACTTTAATAAATAAATATGGAATTCACACACTTATATCTAGAAGTATAAAAATAGAATAAAAAAATAAGATTATATTCAATATTTTTTTTGATAGTGTAAAGACTTGAAGAAAATAATATAATAGTCAAAGAACTAGAGGGAGGGGATAAGAAAGTGGGTAGTATAGAAACTACACACAGCGTTCATCAAAAATTAGAAATTTGAAGAAACAAAAGAGACAAAGAAAGACCAAGGCTCACAAAGTGAAAGCGTTTTACAGAATCTAGGCCTCGTTTGAGAATAAGCTATTTTAGTAATTTTTTAACTTTTTGACTAAAATATGAGATAAAAAAAATTAGTATGCTTGAGATATTTTTTGAATTTTTACGAAAATATGTACAAAAAATAGAGAGAAAATGAAATTTTTGACTAGTTGGTATAGGTTGTTGGTTTTTTTATTTTTTAAGTAACTATTTTACTTTTAGGTTAAAATAGCCACTTGCCAAACAAGGCCTAAGACACATTTTGGGTGCAAGAATTTGTACGAGTTTTGTGTGTATGAGTTTAGTTTGTATAGAGAGTTTTGTTATTGATGTTGGTTTTGGCTAACCAAATATGCATGTTTATCCTTTCCAATCAGGTATAAACTATTTGGATTCCTCTACTTGAAGTCTATTCATGCTGTTCTTTCTTTTTTTATAATATTTTATTTATTTTTCCGATAAATATATATATACTTGCTCAATCTGAAATTTTTTCTTTCTTTTTATTTTCATTTTCTTTTAGTGGGGACTGACGGAAAATCACACCTAACAGAACAATATTGTAAAAGTTCATCACAGTTTAAAAAGACTGCTACAAACATGTAATTTGCTTTTTTTTTTTTCTTTTTTTTTTTTTTTTTTTTATTTAAAAGAAAAATAAAATGTCTTTTTACCAACATAGAAAGAACTAATCACTAGTCAGTTGGGACCTATATCATTGAAGAGACTGGTCTACTTACATTACACTATTTTTTGATTAGTCTGTCTGTAAAATTATTGGAAAAAAAAAAAAAGAAAAGACGAAGAAAGAAGTTTACAAAAATTATTTTAGTAAATGTAGCTTCTCTTCAGTAATATTAGAATGTTTGGAAAGATGGTTAAAAGCTGCTTTTTTGACTTTTTTTTGTGAGTGAGAAAAGTGGGTTAAAATTGAGAAGTGAATTTTAACCCACTTCTTAAAATAGGCTCATATTTTCTTATTATCACTCTAACTCTAGTCCAAGAGTATAAGAAACATATATATATATATATACATATATATATTTTTAATTCCTTGTGATTTTAAAAGAGGACATGCAACTGTAGAACAAGCTTCTAAATTTTGTTGGTTTATTGGAGAAAGAAAGATCCAAATCCAAAGTCCCAATTTCATCTTCTTTCAAACAAGTAGGGTACATCTATATTCTTCTCATAAAGACATTCCAACAAAAAGAGCTTCACATGGAAGTGGTATTCACTCTGGAAATATAAAAAACAAAATCAAAATACACAAACAGATACGATCACCTTATCACCATAACCATTTGACAAGCAGTAATCAGTTGGCTTCCATATGCGGACACAAAAAGGATTCTCAAGGCCAGTTCCCAACTCCTTTCATCAAAAAACAAAATAAATAAATAAATAAAATAAAAAGAGGGATGCAAGGAAAATAATTGAGCCAATAAAATTTTCACTGAAATAAAAGGGGAAAAACAATAAAAAGAAACAAACATGTTAATGATACCCAGCATAGATGATTTTTGAATGAATATCTTATCACCATGACTTCCATTTATATCCAGTAAATCTTATGGGGGAGAAAATGCTGTCATGATTCACCGGATCAAAAACAGATGCAACAATGTGCACACAAATTTGCAGTTTGAGAAACGAAGTCTGTTGATCGAGGCATGAAGTTCCAAATCTTTCAATTTCATTGAACAAATACCTTCCATCTGGCCTTTACAACATAATGACCCCTGCACCATATGGGGTTTATCAAGCCCACAGTTGAAAGAGTTCTTTGTACCTTCCATCACAATTCAAGATGAAACATCAAATCTCAAATCTTGGAATCTATTCAGCAAGCTCAACTTGTATTTCTCAATTTCCGCGTCCTCAGAGGAATTTGGGGTAGACCTAATTACTGAAATTGCTCCAGCACGGTGTAGGAATCTAGTTGCTTCATCTGCAATAACAGAGGACTAATGTCATACCCATACTTGCCTGATGAATACAAATTAATCTGCCAAGTAAGAGAAAGAAAAGAAAAAGAAAAAGAAAACTGAAAAATAGCATCAGTTTGGTTTCTCACAGCAAATAACTTTAATGTTGTGTTCAGTTAGGGATTTAGAAACGGAAAGAAAAATGTGAGAAATAAAGAAAAATTTTAGTTTATATTTCATTCATATTTCCCTTTTCCTTCCAAATCTCTACCCAAATCTATGATCCAAACACAACTTAAAGTTGTCTCCAATGAGAAACACAATAAGTGGGCCCTTTTGATTAATAGTGTGTGGACCTGAACCTCTTTGGCCCAAGTGTACATGTTTGTCTGTGTGTTGTATATTTCCAAAAGGTAACAAGCAAAGTTGTTCACCCTGGTGAGTCTCCGTCACTCCTCCAAGAGGTGGGTGGGTTCTTTTGGAAATTTAAGTTTCTTTTGGAGGTTAAAATATAATTGAGTTCATTAGGTTAATCAAGGACCTAGACCTTTTTCGACACCCTACATAGGACCTCATTTTATTGTTACAAGTTTACACATGAACAGACAGGACACGAATTTATAGTGTTGAAGCTAGGTTTAAGAAGAAGTACTAGCATGAACTTATCGATGGCCTTGTTTGGTGCAGCTTATAGGGCTGCTTAGAGTTTTAATTTTATTTTATTTTGGGAATCTGTATCAGCCTGTTTGGTGGAGCTTATGCTTACAACTTATGAGACAAAAATAATTAAGTATACTGGAAAAAAACTAATTATTTGGAAGATAGGTGATGGGTGCTTTTAGCTTCTACTTCTGTTTACCAACTTTCAGTTTCAGAAAAGCTGCACCAAATAGGCCCAATATATACGAACAAACAACTGAATGCAAAAAGTCGACCTGAAGGTGAGAGGGCAACTAGAGCCTTCAAAGCTTCCTTCCGTGTTCGGTCATCCTCAGCAGCCCCTAGCATATTCAAAAGCTTTTCAGCCCCACCCATCTCCACTATCTTCGTTCTTCTTTCATCTACGAATCAGAAGAAAAGCACAACTGTAATTTAAGATCTAGACAGAAAACAACTGCTAAACTTCACTCCTCTATATTGGCCGTTAGTTTTTATGGCTAAGGTTCCACAGCTTATGATTGTAAACCTAGAGGTTCAGTGATTTGAAACCCCAAAAAGTGGCATGAAGATTGAATAGCATCTAGTTTAGCATGTTATCCACTTCAAAAAACAAAAGATCCATCCATATGTTTTTTTAGTGTAAAAAAGCAAAGTTAGACCGAAAACAACTGTATATACAGTTGCATCTACAAAAGATGAGTTCTAACATGATTTTCTGACTCAACTGTGAAGCTGTTCACTAAAGAATTACTCACTTGAGGAAAAATTATATATTATACTCACCATCTATTGCAAAATGGGTTAATCTAGATGCTCCCATCCTTTTAAACAAAGGATCCTTGACATGCAAAAGTGACACAGATTGTTGCATCAAATTATCTCCTGGAAAAGTAAATTTTCCAAATCTTGTCAAGTAAATACCATGAAGACATATTTTAACAAGACATGGAAGTTGAAAATTGATGATAGAACTAATGGGCATACCCATGTATGGAAGAAACTGGTAAGCAACAACTGTTCCAGTCCCAAAAAATAACAGTTTCAAGAACCATCCTATTTTTCTTTCAGCCTCCTCTTCCATGGAGCGCTCATCTAGAAACCAAGTAAGAAGTCATACACAAAAAAAAAAAAAAAAAATTGTCAGTAGTGATGAAGCAAGAGTATCATATATCTGGAAGGAGTGCTTTTCCCTCAAAGTAAAAGCTAGTATATAATATGCAAAAGAAAACATATTGAGGCCTTGTTTGGGAACAGGCTAATTTAGTAACTTTTTGGCTATTTGACTAAAAAGGTAGGTAAAAAAAACTTGTATGTTTGGCATGACTTTTTGATTAATTACGAAAAGATGTGCAAAAAGTAGAGAGAAAAGAGAACATTTGACTTTTTGGTATGAGTTGTTGGCTTTTTGACTAATTTAGTAACTTTTTGACTAATTGGCTAAAAAAGTAAGTCCCCAAACAGGGCCTGAGCCTTACTGAAAACACTGTGTTCAAGTTTGAGGAAATCTGATACAAATATTATAATGATAAGTTTAACACCTACAGTGCTGAGGGTCGTGGCTACTCTAATAGATTATTGCAAAAGTTGATGTTCACAAAGGAGGTTAGACACTTCACCAATCATGCAGAGAAATCCACAGTAATATCACAAGTTCCAAAGGGCTAACATTAACCACATTTGGCATTTTGTTTAGTGTTCATTGAAGAGTAGACTCATACTTAACTTGTGCCTTATTTCAGATTTGAAATTTAATGAGTATTTTGCGTATGAAAGAGTTGGACATCTAGTTAAAAGCTCTTTGATATAGATTTCCACATACATGGTTGTCAAGGTATTGTAACTGGTGAATTCAACATGGGAATGGAATTGATCTCTACTACTTCCTTAATCAGGTTCTTTAAGCGAGTGTCCTCTCTAGAAAGGGTGGCTTGGCCCAATGATAAGACTACTTGTTGTCATCCCTGCTGTCACATGTTTGAATCATAGAACCAGTCTCTCCAAAAATGGGGCTAAGGCTGGGTACAACTTGCACACCCTAGACCTTGCTTTAGTGGAAGCTTCGTGCACTAGGTCGCCGTTTTGTTTAAGCAAGTGCTGCCTCTCCCTCTTCACTTTGATGATAAGATTTCACTTCAATGCTTCAAAGCTTGCTCAGCAGCCCTACAAAAGATCTCTATCTTTTTACGACCCATCTCCTTTTTCTTTTGACCCTACTGTTCATTCACTATTTTGTTTTCAGTTCCTCTCTCTTTCTTCACAAATTGTCATAAATCGAAAGAGTTAATTACATTTTACCTCCCTGTAGTTCAGTTCAAAAATACTTTACCCCCTTCTAGTTTAGAAATGTATACATAACCTCCTCATAGTATGGGGTGAAAAGCAAAACTAACATAATTTGTTATATATAACAGCACATGTGGCATATCCTTGGCTAAGACGCGTGATGACATTGTTAGGATGACCTTTGGGAGGAACATTACAATAATGCCCTTATTTGTGTTCAATCTTCCTCTACAATCCATGTCCATCTTACTATGCAAAGCCCAATTCAACACAACTAACGAGACAATTGATGGGAAAATGCACAAGCAGCAACCACCAACATCATTCTCTCTCTCTTTCTCTCACGACAACCCCCAACTGAAAAGAACACACAGAAAACATATATTTATGGGTAGAGTACTATTGGGTGAAGATGAGAGGGAGAGGGAGTTTGGATCTCTGTTAAAGGAAGCCATGGTTGATGGTTGGAGATGTTGCAACCACCATGTGTGAATGTAGAGAGAGCAAGAGAGAGAGAGAGCTATTGGGTTTGAGTTTTTGTTGGGTGCACCATGGATGGTGATGGTGCTGTGGGCGTTCCTAAAGAGTTGAGTTGACAATAAGAATGCACAACTCTGGTGGGTAAAGAACAAGAATCCTGTAATAATTTCTAATACGACAAGAACATAATTAAATTTTATATCAACTATACATAAAATACAATATTAGCCACCATATATACATTGGAGCACTCACATTTTCAAGACCTCCATACAACGTCTTAGTTTATGTTGCTAATTTCAATCCAATAAAGTTTGCATCTCCAGAACCAGAGCAATTGCATTAGCCACCAAATAAATCGGAGTAGCTTTTGGCTACTGCCATGGGAAGAGGAAGAAGAAGAAAAAGGGAAGGGAATGAAAGGAAAAGAAAAGGTTGTGGCTGCTGGATTTGGAGGTGGCTGGTGGTGCCCGTAAGGTAGGGGAAGTGGGAAAGAGAAAGTTAAGAAGTAAAAGAAGTAAAGAAAAGGAAAGAAATTGCAGAGAGAGATAATCAGGTAGAGAGAGTTTGGTTCCAAAGTCATGATGGCATAGATAAGAAAATTAGAGAAAAAAATTAAGGGCTATGAAGCATGGGTAAAATGTTGTCGTACTCGTTCCGGGTACTGTTACTCGAAATACGTGCCGGTACTTTTTATTCATAGATTAAGGGTAATATAGACATATTGTAAAAATTATTAACAGATTTGAATTTTGCATTTTACTCCAAATTACAAGGGAGGGAGTTATGAGTACATTTATAAACTAGAAGGGGGTAAAGTGGTTTCGAGGTAAACAAGAGGGAGGTAAAATGTAATTAACCCTAAATCAAAACTTTCATCATTCATCCATGGAACTGTTCTCTGATATTACAATTTTTCGTTCCTGTTGTACCAAAAAAAGGTTCAAACAATCAGCTACTTACTCTGTCTAATATTTGTTTTCAGAGAATTATAGTTAGTAAAGTGAATAGTACAAGCATGGCTGACTAATAGCAACAAAATTGCATACACAAAGTAGAATCAATTTTCACAAGGAGCCCCAAACATGCCCTTAGGATATAGTTCCTCATTAAAACATTACCAAGTGCTTTATAAGATACAAAGAATGAGAAAAAGGAAACCTAAATCAGCAACAAAAAAGTAAAAATCAGTAACCTTTTCCAAAGTTGGATGAAGAGAAATTGCGAGATTGCACATTCCCTAGTTTTCTTCTTCTGCACAAATACTGCATTTTTGCATACCCACAAATTAAAGTCAGCAAAAAAAGATCAAAAATAACAAAAATTAGACAAAACCCTAATCACAAAACTATTAATAGACAAGGTTAGGTTCAAAATCGAAGAAGAACTTACAGTGGTCAGCTGGGATGCTAACTTGCGCATGATGCGAATGAAAGGAAGATCTTTGAGCTATGCTGCAAACGAAGCTTCTTTGTTTCCAATTGGCAGATTGGACGAGACAAACACGTGGCTGGGTCTGAAAAAGGCCCATAAACTTTATGGGCCTGGACTTTTCTTGGGCTAGTTAAAACTCTTGCCCTACCCTCTTCCTTATAAACTAAAATGAGGTGTTTAGAAAAATATTATTGAAGTTGTTTTCTCAAAAAAAAATTTAAAATAATAGGTGCTTCAAAATTTTTATTTTTATTTTTTTCAAAATGAAAAAATGAAAAATGATAACGATACCAAACAAATTCTAAATTCTTTTGCTTTTTTTATGTCAACAAATTTCACCGTTAAGTTTTTTTTTTTTTTTTTTTTTTTTTTTTCTTTGTCATACAGAAAAAGGAAGCTCCGTGAGGTCATTATAGCTTCTATAGGCTCTGGCCTCGGAGTAATCGGTTAACAGTTAGATTTAATCCAACCTAAAGGAAAGGAACCCCCCATCGGAGTAACAGCGGGTTCCAGACCCAATCCATAACAAGAGTCGTAGAGCTTTGTAACAGGAGTACAACGTATTATACAAAGACTTGTGCGTCCCGAATGTTGAACTCGGACAAATTGTGTGCAAAAGGCCTAAAATACCACTAGACCACCACCCCGGTGGTCCGTTAAGTTAAATTTCATTAAACTAATCTCTACTATTCATAAAAATATATTTTAACTAAAATTCAATTTCACCAATTTATAAAAACTATATCTTATTTTATATTTGATTAAATTGTCAATAAAATAGTGAAGACAAAATACATTATCTTAAATGAAAAAATAAAAAAATTATATTATTCTTAAAATCTTATTTTAAATACTTTTTAATTCACCCAGATGAAGTTACCTAACAAATTTAAAAATATTATAACACCCCTTAATTAAAATATATAATTATTTATTTATTAAATGAGTTATGCCTATCAACTTTATATTATGCAAATTGTATACTGACCTGACCCATTGATAATATTTGTTTTAACAAATCTTGCCATTTACATTCATGTCGAAAATGATATAACTCTAACTCGCTAACTTCGCACACAATTTAAATTGCGTTAAAAATTTTCAAGTGACAACTTTGATTATATTTCAAGACTATCAAATAACTACTCTTTCCATTTGATCACAAAGTGAGGCCACAAACTTTTGTAGATATATTCATATAGGATTAAATCAAGTAGAAATCACTACAGTACTTTGTTTAGACAAGGTATTGATATACCCATCTTGGTAGTTTTACTAGATAAAAGATTTTATGATCCAATAAAAGCAATTATTGGAGGAATATAATCTAATCTAGTAAATGGAATAGTATGGTTTAACATAAAACCAAATTTTTTTGTGTTAATAGATGATTCTAATATAGAATATGTTAGGATTCGTCTAAAAACACAAAATATAAGAATGAAAAAAGATTCTTATGATCTCGCAATTCAATGAAAAACTATTCATAAATTAACAAGGCTACTTGAAACATCAATTAAACCAATTGATATAAAGATAATTGACATGTGGGAACTAAAACCATATGAGACAACAATTCAACCAAAGCTAATAAATTGGTCAGATTTAGAAATTCTAAGAAATTGATTAATTTCTGAACTAACAAAGGAAAGAGTAGCAAGGAAATCTGTTAGTAACATTGAAATACAGGCATCTGGTAGTAATTTGTATATAACAAATAATAAATTAAAACAACCAGTACAAAATTTTATCAACTGACCTGAAAAAAATTCAATAAATTAAAAATTACACATGATATTAATAGCAGTAGTTTTCAAACAGAACCGATTGGTATTAAGACAGTGTAAGTTCCTATCATGCCAGGAACACATCATAGATTTGAAGAACAAAAAATGGTTCAAATCTATCATTATCAAATAAAACATGATGAAGTAATTTTTGCCCCTAGCCAAGGAAAGCGAAAATATATTTATGTTTTGGGAATCTTTAATTTTAAAGGTTATAAGCCATATATTCTTAGTGTTCTACTTGACACTGGTGCCATAGTAAGCACATGTAGAGTGAATGTTGTACTCGAGGATAAATGGATTTTAATGAAAGATGATGTCTCAGTTAAAGGAGTTAGTGGAGCAGATACCTTTATAATTCTAAAAGCAAAAAAATATAACTGTTTAGTTTAATAATAACAAATTTTAGTTATTCCAAAAGTTTTATCTTTCCGAAATATGCATGGAGATTTTATTCTTGGAAATAATTTTTATTTGCATATTTACCAATAATGCTTGCTGATAAAACAATTAGTTTAACTCTCAACCAGCAATTGGTAACAAAGGGAGTTAAACCCTAATTAAATTAGTATCATTTTTTGACCAACAAAATTGTACATCTTTCTTTAATTTTGCTAATAAAAAGGGAGTGCCAATTTTGCTAGATCTTTTACGTAATTTCTTCCATAATTAAGAATTCCTGAAAATTTTTGAAATTGTTTTACTTCAATTAATTCATCTGGAAATTTTTTTACTTTTGAAATAATATGTTTTTGTAATTTCAATTAACCCTAAGAACTCTCTTTCTTCTTTCTCCACCTCTATCTTTTTAGGAGAAAGAAAAATTCCATATTTTTGGAATTGATTACATAATTGCCTAGGATGATTCTTCTGTTCTTCCATTGATTTGGAAAAAAATAAAAATGTCATCTATATATACTACACACACACAAAAAAAAAAAAAAAAAAAAAAAAAAAAACAATGAAAAAAAAAAAAACCTTAAGTTTATTAAAAATAGAATCCACCTATCTTTAAAAGATTTGTGGTCCAATATTTAATCCAAATAACAATGCATTCTAGTAGTAATGTCCTCTCTATGGAGTAATTTCAATGTTTAGAATCACTCCTGTCATATATAGAATAAATCTGGGAAACTCAGAATTATTCATCCAGATTTTTTTAGGTAGATGATTGTTTGATAAAAATTAAATTTGCGTAATATAAAATTTATATGTAAAATAAATTTGAACCACAACATAATAATTTTGAATAATTTCTAAATAGTTAAGTTTAAGTTCATAGTATTACTGATATATATACACCATCTTAATCACTCCTGCTGCTTTTTTTTGGAGTGGCAACCATACACAATATGACTAATCTAAATATGTATACATAAAGTGTAATGACCTTATCTGAAATAGGGCTTCAAATGAACCAAGTTGATCATAAATAAGATTGGCTCACCTCGACTCGTTAAGGGCTCAACTCGGCTTGGTTCGTTTAGTGAACGAGCTGAACTCGAGCTCGAATATTAGGCTTAGTAAACGAGCCGAGTTCTAACTCCAACTAGCATAAACTCAACTTATCAAGCTCGGCTCGTTTAACTTTATTTAAATTATATATTAAATAATATAAATAATATTTTTATTTAAATAATATTAAAAAAAAAATATTGAGCCAAACTCAAATTTATTAATGTTAACGAGCCGAGCCGAGCCGAACTCAAACCCAATTCTTTATCGAGCCAAACTTGAGCTCAATAAACAAACTCAATAAGTAAACGAGCCTAGTTCGAACTCAGTAAAACTCGACTTGACTCGATTTGATTGCAACCCTAATTCAAAATGATAGCCTTGCTATTCTCAACCAATCAAAATGTATTGCTCTAAAAAAAATAAGATAAAATAAAATAAAATTATTGTTCCAAAACAAAAAATCAAAAGGTATATTATTCATATTCAGACATATGCAAACAAAATTACTCCTTTTCGAGGAAGTGGACCCGAATAAATTGGAACATTCAATCTTACTCTATCTTTGGAGGTAGAGATAAAAATTCAAAGACAATAATCAATCTTTTTGATGCAATAAAAAGTAACAATCAAAAGCATAAAAGTTTATAATAAAAAAGTAACAATCAAAGGCATTCCTACTCCAGCTTCTTCATAATTATTTTTTTAATTTTTTAACTATTTCTTTCTTCTTAATAAATGATAAGCAAAAACTGTATTAAACAGTTTAGCATAGACTCCAAATTAAATAAAATATAATCAACTCACTTAAACAGCAACAAACAGCCCCATTGTAGTAACGATAAGACCACAAAATTCGACACATCAATGAGGACTTGGCCACAAAACTATCAAGAAATAGAAGAAACAGAGACTACTAGTGAAAAGCATTGCCATACACATCAAAACAAAAGACACAAAATCTTGGAAAAATACCGACATACAATTACCCCACTCCTCATCCAACAGAAAAGGGATCTGAAAACTGGTTTTCATGTAATTAAACAACCAGGCTAAAAGGTACAAATTTTATCCATTATCTAATACTCAAAATTTGGGAAAATTGCAACAACCTGACAACTGAGAATAGGAAAAGATTGTAAACTGAATAGGCATAGTAATAAGAAATCTTCAGCATCAGCAGAATCTTCACATTCAAAATGCAGCTACTTAGATCTCACACTTCTACTACACCATGATGTTCGACACAAACCCAACTTTCAATAACTGAAAACTAGGCAGTCCAGACCACTTCCAGAGAGGTGAATACACTTCCTACTTCCTGGTCAAGTAGACATCCATAAATCATTAACATCGGTAAATCTACACAACTTCAATGCATGCACAAATGAAGGTACATTAATTTTGGAAGAGGTTCGGTTTTTCACAAAAAATTTGTACAAACCATTTCAACATATAGCAAGTAAAACTGAAGTACCCTATCTCCCAGGTTGTTCTTTCAAAGAAATGGACAAGGCAAACTTTAATATTGTACAGAAAGCTGGTATGGCCAGAGCCAGTTAATACTGTCTAGACCATATAATGACAAGGTATCGAGTAAAAACTCAGTGGGATTGCTGTCCTTGATCTAATTTTTCTTTTTAAAAAAAAATTATAAAATAAAATGGGGGACAGCAGGATGGTGTTGCAGGGTGGAGGAGAATTTACTTAAGAGCAACAAGAGCTTGGGTATTGGTTGTCTGCTCGCTTAGGAATTGGAATCTCAGAGGCCAAATGTTTCATTTCCCCCCACAACACTTAGGTGGGTTTCATCGTTCATGAATGGATGTGGTCATTGGATATGTCATATGACAGATCAACTATCTTGAGAAGAGCATTCAAATTGAAATGATTCTTGAAATGCATGGCAATTTAGTGATTGTAGTTATCCAAAATGCAACCACAGACACCGCAAAACAGAAGAGACTTGTTTCACATCATAAGACAAACAACTAGATGATTCAAATTTCAGAATCAATCAATCCCCCTTAACAAATTTGGCCCTATTCAGTGGTCAGGAATTTTGCGTGAGAAAGTTGTTTCCAAAAAGTGTAGTAAGTGAAGTACAGGAAAAAGAAACTTGTTTCACTGTGTGTGTTCATTTGACAAGAAAAAGAAAGTGTATTGTTGAGACTCCTGCAAAATCTTGTATTTTTTGCAATACATGTTTTGAGGGAAAACAAATCCTAGTGGGAAACTTAGAAATATAAATCCACATCTTTCTTGCTAAATAATCATGAAAAAAGTTATACAAAAGTTGGTTTTCCTCTACTTTCTTTTCCTAACAACTGAATGGAGCCTTTGTGTAATACACAGGTATAAAACCAGTAAACAAACCTGCCGCTCTTAGCCGTTGGAACAATCAATCCTCTTTTCTCTAAGCTCTTGAACCGATCCCTAGCAAGGGTAGAACAGCCCTACATGCAACAAAAAAATAATAAAATCAATAAAACATAGAAGTTTCTGTGATTGAAATCTAAACTGAAAGTCACACTTGGTTCTTTCTTGGAGAATAAATCAGGAAAATGACAAAAAGACAAACCTTCAGCTTACGGAGGGAACCGGAAATTTCTTCAGATAACAGGACCTGAACAGGGGCAGGTTCATATCTGAAAGAAAGGAAACTAGTCATTTGGTTTATTCTAAAAAGTAAACTACAATCATAGTGGCTACCTCATACTGAAATAAGAACCAGAACCCATTCACACCCAGCCACCCCCCAAAAAATGGTGTTGCTAAAAATTTCAATTTAATGTGGAACCAACATGTAAAATCCAAAGGTTTGGAAAGCTAACCATTAAGTAGTTGCCTAATTATATCACCAGAATTTTCCATTGAACCAATAACCAATTTGTAATAGATCATGAAAGAAAAAAAAAATAGGTTAAATATGTTAATCTTTATCAACAAAATTGCCATACTTGTGCTTTCCCAAGTGTGGTGGGCGGGATTTCAATCTTTCTTGCTTAGCAACTGCACGGCGTAGATGTCTTTTTTGCTTCTCTTCATCCTCTTTGGCTATTTCTTGAATTATATCTGGCAGGCTGTAGTGCAGAGAATAAATCATCAGTAGAAAAATACTCAAGTGCAAAAATATTTGTAGAAACAAACAAGTTGGCCTACGAGTCAATTTCTTTGGAGAGTTGCTCCACTTTCTTCGCTTCTGCTTTTGCTCTCTGCTGTTCCTTACGTCTATCCCTCCTGTTCAACTCAACTCGTGTAACCCTTTTTTTTATAGAGGGCCTGCAGAATTATTGTTCAAAAACTATGAATCTCTCATAAAAAAGAGTAGAAGAAAATTATATCATAACAACATGCCCAGGGCCAGCCCTAAGGTTTAGGGGGCCCAAGGCGAACTTTAGAAATGGGGCCCTCTTACATTGAAAAAAAATAAAAATGCATAGACAAAACGATAAGTCACAACTTTTTTATTTGTTTGTAGCCACAAAAAAACTTACTTGCACATATAATCATTAAAATTATAAATAAAAATTTACTTTCGTATATTAAGATAGGAAGCAATCATTACAAATACTTTAAAAAATAAAAATCTAGTCTTGTTGCTTTTTTTTGAGCCCTATGTTCTATTGGGCCTATAGTATTTGAACCTTTTTTTTTAATATTTAAAACACAATTATATTTGGGGGCCCCTATTTTTAGCCCAAATTTGGGGGCCCAAGGCGCAGGCCTCTCTTGTCTGCCCTCAGGGCTGGCCCTGTACATGCCTTAGAAAAGAGAGAGGATATCTTGGTCTGGCACAACTGAACCTTTTGGCACTTATATTGCTGAAGCTCAGTCTTAGGAGAATTATTACAGACAAAAACAAAAACAAGAAACAAGAAACAAGAAACATAACCTGGCCTAAACCTATGCAGCAGCCATGTGAACTGAACTGTATCTAAATGACCACGAAAACCCATGTAAGCGATTTCAAGTATACATACTGGGGTGAAGGTGTTTGGTCTTATGTGTCAAATTCAAAATCTTGAAAACATTGATATAGCTTTATCCATATATGCCGTATTCGTGTATCATGTCCATATTCATGCTTGTTAGCTCTATCAAAAGCTTTATAATATTATGTTCCTCATTTGTACTGCTCACCCAATACAATCAGCATAGAAGACAATAGAGCCAGGATGCCACAGAAATTCTGCCTAACTATGAATATGTTCCTCCCTACTAATCAAATTTCCCAATGCGTTCTGTGTCCACCTTAGATGTCACAGAAGGATACTGGGAACCATATTTTGTCTCCAACACCGGTACCTACACACACTTTATTGTCTATTTGTTATAGCTGAAACATTGTTTTGTTGCAGCCTTCATAAATACTCACAATACAGCACTTTCTTAGAGAATTAAAATGGCTCCTTAATCCCATAAAATGAGATTCACATATTACTATTAAAACAAATATTAGTGTGAAAAAGATGCACACCGACATCCCATCATGATTTCCAAACTCGACAGAATTACAAGAGAAACAGTACTCCATTCACAAAACAATTCTCCAATAACCACAATAGATAATGCAATCTTCAGACCCTATATCATTATGCTCAATAATCAAGATGAAAAAGAACAAGAAAGTCATTCAATTGCAGTAGTGGCAGTAAAACATGAAAAGTCATAGACCTATTTTCATGTTCATTATCTCCATCCTTGTCCTCATTTGCAATGTTTTGATCATCATCGTCACTACCATTATCCGCATCAAGAAAATACATCTGAAATAGTTAATTCATATTAAGTTTTGCATGAGAATATAATTTGGGAGGAATCAGTATACCACAGTACATTCAGGCTGAACTTCAAGTAAATAATAGGTGAATGGAAAAAAATTATACTTCTTCTTCATCAACAACTTCTCCAGGAACAGTTAATGGAACTGGCTCAGGTCCCAACTCATGTCGATAAATTTTCTGCATTTCATCTGCAACAGCACGAGCTAACGAATCCTACATAGACAAGAAAGATTAAATGTGAATCTTATCTAAGGCAAATAGAGAAGCAAAATCCAAAATATCATCTCTCTATAAATAACCTGATGACTCTCAAACGATGGATTGAATGAGCATCCAGGAGGCTCAACTTCTACAGCAGCGAATAACTGAAGCGCTTGGATTTCTGTCAAAAATAGTCAATATGACATCTACGGTGACAATAATAGAGAAAAAAATATAGGCATAATCTACAGAGCACATTAAAAGAATGCATAGAGCATTGCCTCAGTCGTTCTATTGTGGAAAAAACAATGGAACCAATATGCATCCAATTTAGAGAACTTGAAGTTTAGAAGGGGGTCACATCAGCAAGTGCTGTGGTATCATTCCTTTAATATTATTGCAACAGAATTACATGACAGACAAGAGTCAAGAAGGAATAACATCTGAATTTAAATTATGGCTTTACCTTTTTAGTTTTACCAGTGTGTTCACCTGCAAGAGTGTCAAGAACAGCCTATGTAATGTGTACCATCATACAAAAAAGTAAGAATAGATATCATAACTGCAATCAACTTGAAATAAAAACCTTTACCATCCCATATGTCAACCATGCCAGAATCCGAGACACCCTCCTCCTGTGGGATTCCAAAAAGAAACAATAAGGGGTTGTTTGGGATAAACTAAATAAGTGTACTTTTTGACTTTTTATGAAATATAGGTTAGGTATGGATTGGGTTTGAAGTGATGTGGTAGAGAAATGATGTGACTTAAATAAATGATGTAACTTAAATAGGATAGTGACTTTTTAACTTTTTGACTTTTTTTTATTATGCCAAACTAAGCCTAAATAAGAACCATACTAATGATCCATTTCTATGTTTAGTTACAAACAAGTTTTAAAATTTTGCTTACCTTGAGACAACCTTGAACATCATCTTTTGCTTTTGGAACTTCTTTACTTCTTTTCTTGGATTTCTTCTTTGTTGAAGATGGTACTGGTTGAACAAAGGAATTCCTTTGTAACAAGCTGTCACAGTATAGTACTTTTTCTCTGTGCTTTTCAATCTTCCTCTTGACTGAAAGATCTGAATTACACAAAAGGACAAGAGTTAATCATTCCTACAGTGAAGAATTGAAAAAGAAATATGACAGGACAAGACTGAAGCACGTGTAATGAGTACTTCTATTGTAAACATTTTTATTGCGGGCTCAGTCAACAAGACCAAACACTGAGCTAAATTAATCTTGTTTATCAGCTTCTTGTAGCCGAAAGCCTGCACATATTTGCCTCACATTTGGAAGGGACTATTTTCGTATGAGTTAAGCCCAGCCTTGGAAAGGCCATTACACGTCAAGCAGAATTTGGCCAAATGAGGGTTCTTCTGAACCTGCCCCAATTCACACCCCAAACCCCCCCATCATACCAAATAGCAGTACTAAAGATCACTAGTGTATGAGATTTATTCTCAAGTTTAAAAGATTCGTCACTAATTTTGCCAAAAATCCATATTAACCTGTCGATTGGTTTTTACCATGGTTGTTAGAATCATATGATTCATGATTCAATCTGTAGGTTTGATACAAGTTTCAACAAAAACGATTCAAATTGTTCTGTTGAATCGGAAATTGGGTGAATCATGCAACTTAATTTGCGATTCACTACAATTTAGTTCTATTTTTGTGTTTGTTTACATAATTCATGAAACAACATCATTTTTGCCAATTAAGACATATATAAGAGATCAATTAGTTATATTGATATACGTGAGTTTATATGTATATAGATATATACAATTTAGTTATATTGATATTTACTTCATTTTAAATAATATTTGTATGTTTTTATATGTATATAAATATATAAAATTATACATCATAGATTCATATTAAATAAAATGAATCTTACAACTTACAATTAGATATGATTTACGATTCATTATTTTGCAAAAAAGATTCACGATTCGATTCGTGATTTGACAAAAGTAGTTTTTACCCTGACTAGGAATTTTCCATAAACAAAACATAGAATCTTTTTGAGCTTATCATGGTGGCCTTATTTCTTCATTTCATACCTTAAAGAAAAACTCCAATGTTACAAACAAATGATGAAACTTTAATAAGAAAACAGGTGAGGTAAACTTGCAGGCTCCCCCTAAATCAGATAAAGCTTTGGGTGAAACATTTGGCAAGGAGGTAAATGAATCACATGCAATGCTCCATTTGTTTGGGCCCAGCAACAAATTTTCATATTTTTCCAATCCAACCAAGAAGGAGGAAACATGTATACTGTAAATGGTTTTATGCAGGACAGCTGAAGAACAAAATTACAGAAATTTATTTTACATGCCTTAAGCTCATCATGTCAATTGTCTATCATCACTGCTGAAAAAGACAGCCGGGGATTTCGATGATTTCACTGACAGGGTTTCAAGAATCTTGTCCATCCAACACCCCCCCTTCTCATACCTTTGACAAATTCAATTATTGTCCTTGGTCTTTCATGTCCTATTTTAATATGCCCATCAACTATTTGATAACATGATTTCACATAACATTTGTTTTTAAATGTGGAAGCCAAACACTAAACAATTAGAAGAAAAACAATCAGTGTGTTTGGTTTGAGTTTTTTGAAAACTCAGTTTTTTGGTTTTCGTGTTTTTTTGTTTTTACTGAATATTTTTAAAATTTTAAACATTTTTTTTACTTTTTTAGATCCACCTTACTTAGATGTATCTAAAAAGTAAAAAATTGGTGAAAAAATATTTTAAAAATTTAATAAATACATAAAAATACAAAAAATGTACTGAATTCTCGTATTTTTTTTGTATTTTTGGTATTTAGTGAATTTTTAAAAAGTTTTTTTCACAATTTTTTTACTTTTTAGGTATATTTATGTTAGGTATGTCTAAAAAGTAAAAACAATTGCTTAAAATATTAAAAAAATTCAGTAAAAACAAAAAAATACGAAAAACAAGAAAGTAAAATTTTCTGAAAAGTGTTTTTGAAAAAACACAACCAAGCCAGCTGAATGGTAGCGTTTAGTTTAATTTTTAAAACTCAATTTTGTTTTCAAATCATGATTTGAATCAAAATTTATAACCAAACAAATTTTTAAAATACAATTCAAAATTACTTTCAAAACTCCTTTCTTCTCTTTTTTTATTTTTTATATATTATTAATCAATCAATCTCTTTTTCTCTCCCCTCTCTCCACTCACCTCTCACATTCTATACATCAATCAATAAAAATAAAAATAAAGTACAAATCATCCCAAAACTATTTTCAAAACTCATAATCAAACAAATTTTCTCTTTTCAAATCATAATTCAAAAACTCAAAACTGAAAACTCAAAACTCAAAACAGAACTCCACACTCAAATCATAATTTTAAAACTAAACTAAACTAAACTAAACGGACCCAATAATTTTACCCATAATTTTTTTTTGCCTGAGTAAGCAATTTTCGTCAAAACAATTGGAGTGTAAATTTATCCAGGTAATGGAAAAACAAAAGCAATTGAATATAGGGTAGCAAATATGATGCCCAATGCGCCCATTGCAGATATTAGAAAGAGCAGACGATTTCAACAATGCTTTCGGGGCCAATCTTATATCATAAACCAAAGAAACTACTTAAAGTCGTTACTGATCAGACCCACAACAAAATGCATTGACCCCATACATATATAATATGTAATATAACTTCTTCAAGAATGCAACTCACAGCATGTCACTAGATTCTATCCAAATATGCAACTAGTACTCTTTCATTTGACACCTCCCACTAGGCTCTACTTCAATTGTTCATGAAATTGAATAAGGCTAAATTTTAATCAATTCCCCACCCAACTTAACTAAATCATTATTACATTAAAACAAAAACTTAACAAACAGTTTGATACTAGAGGAAAACTGAGAGAAGAATACGAAAGCAACATCATAATTCCAACCATTATATTGTTTTAGTCACCAATAAATAATAACACCACCTCGAATCAGCTTATTGTTGCCCAAACTGATGGGAAAAAAAATACACATAATCAATTTGATCATCAAAGTATTTTAACATTTTCTGAGCAACCAAGCAAGGCATGAGAAAAGAATCATACCTCTCGATTTGTCAACAAAAAATAGCGATTCGCTGGGAACGTTAGTGAGAGAACCACCGGAAAGAGCGTCTTTGGTCGACTTCTCAAAGTATTCATCTATGTCCTCTGTGCTTATGTTAGCCCTCCATGCCTTCTTTCCTTTCCTTGAGCTCTTCGCCTTCTTTCCCATCTCTCTATCTCAAAAACTCCACTCTCTTTCCTTTGTTCTTTGTTCTGTTTTAGTGTCAGCTGCCACTAAAGGAGAGGCACAATCACAATTTGCAAATCCCTAACCAAGAAAGTGCAGGACACTTATTCGCCAAGTCTTGATGCTTCTATTCAATTAATGGAGTTTTGGAAATATTAATAAACGCCACTATTTAACCCTTATAACAAATTAAACCGTAAAATTTTAGTTTCTTTAAATAAAACTTTGATCTTTTAAATGGGTATCAATTCAAACCATCCGCCAACCACCGTTAACTAATCCTAGCAAAAGGGGGATATAAATGTGAATTTACTCATCACTTTCTTCGTCTTTCTTGTTGCCACACCTTTGACAGTCAGTTCCACCCTTCCCTCACCATTGTCACCACCCCAAATCCCTTTTTTCTTTTTCCTATGGAAAAACATTGATACCCACGATTTAAATCCCATAATTTTATCACATAACATGTTATGTGTTAATATTTGATTTGTCACAAACTCCAATTATGTAAGTACCAACTCTCTTATCATATTGTGAGACTTAAATTAGCATCTCTCTTTTCCTACCACCAACAACGTATTAGAGAGAGAAAGTTGGAAAAACAGAAAGATAAAAATGACTGCACCTACCGCCACAACCCCTACCTACATCCCCCGCCACTCACTATGGCCCCCAGTGCCACCATACCACCACCCCCCTCACCCTACGCACCACAAACCACCACTCCCAACTCTTTCCTCCCCATAGGAGCGTTAATCAGTTTGGGGCAGTCAGTTTTTAGACCAAAATCACCACCAAATCCATTGGGTCGGTTGTCTATCTATGTTTGAGAACCTAGGAAAGAAAAGAAAAGGAATGATTACTTAAATTATAAAAAAAAAAAAAAGAAAATAAATGATTGTGATTTCTTTCATTCTTGTTTGGATAAATAAGAAATAAAAGAAAAGAAATGATTATAATTTCTCTCCTTCTTATTTGGTTAGATTTCAAAAGAGAAAAGAAAAGAAAAGAAATTATTTTATATTGTATTACCAAAATAACCTTTATATATTTTCAATCCTTTTATTTCTTTTATTTTTACAGGGATAAAATTGATATTATGAAAATACTTATTTCTTTTCTCTCCTAATCTCTTCACTTTTGAGAAGATTAAAAATGAGTGTTATAAGAGAAATGAGTTTCTCTCCATTTCTTCCCATTTCTCTCCACTTAAGTTATCCAAACAAGTAATCCAAACAAGTAAGAGAAATATATTTCCCTCCATTTCTTTTCTTTTCTCTCCAAATCACTCAAGCCAAACATAGGGTTAACCAAAGCTAGGCAAAGTGGTCATAAACTGAAGTTGTCAGATTGTATTCACTAGTAAAGTGGTTTAGTTATTTCAGTGTGTGCGCCTCAATAGCATAATATTATTAAATTTAAGCCCTACTTGTATACACCATTTTAATGCAACTCATAACGCAAACATGAAAGCTTCAACTTGCTACCTATCTCTATTTTCCCAACTTTCTCAAAAAAACAAATGAACAAACTTCCCATTCTATGTTTAACGAAGCACATGAAATGAATATTAACTTTCTCAACTCAAATTTTGCCTAATTTTCCAGTATCAGATTATGCATTTAAAAATGAAAAACATCTACGGATTAAATAAATAACAGATTGAAGTAAAAAAGGGGTTTCGTAAATACCTTAGCCGACGATCGGTCGATGTGAGATTTGTGAGAGAGAGCGAGAGCGAGGTGTTTTCAACCCTAATCAGCGAGTGACGAAGAGAGACAATGAAACCAGGTCTGAGGTGAGAGAAGCGTGGACGGCAGGGATTTAACTTAAGGGTATGTGCGTGGACGGATGGTATTGAAAGGCATCTCTAATCAAGGCCTTACTTGACATGAACTAAAAAAAGTTAAAAAGCCATATCATTTTATTTAAATTATCTTACCTCTTTAATATATCACGTTAAATTTAATCCATACTCAACTCATATTTTATAAAAATTTAAAAAATATACTTATTTAGATCATCTCAAACCATCCCAAATTTTCAATTTGACAACTTGAGAGAGTGTTTTTTGAAATTGATTTTTGTGATTTGGATTTACTTTTTAATAATTATTAAATAAAATATTAATATAATTAAATATTGATAATTATAAGTTTGAATCTATTTGTTTAACAAAAATAGACGATAAATATAATTTTAAAAATAATCATTTAGTTTTTGTAATAAAAATTTCATTTAAATATATAGTTACTGATACTCAATCATTTTAATTTTTTATATGAATATTTTACTTAATAAATCTTAAAAAGGGAACAGTTTACATCATTGAAATCGGTCTCAAAATGAACTTACCAAATCCAAATACCCTCTCAAATTAAGATAATCAACTTAAAAGAAAACAACCTTTTTAAAAAATTCTAAACAAAAATTATGCTCAAATCATACTCTAAAACTAACATTTCAGAGCTCTACCAAACAAAACCTTTTTCTCTCTCTTTGCAACAATGGCTTGTTTTGAGAAGTTCGCTTTTAGCCACTTTTTTTAGTTTGTAGCAAAAGAAATAGAATACTTTTACTATTTGGTCAAAATAGAGAGTCTTGTTAAAATACACTCCTTGAAGTTGCTCTTATAGTAGTTGTTATTGGTAAATTATAGCAACTTAATCCAAAAAAAACAAGTTTCAAAATATGATGTCAAATTTTGACCAAATTTCTAAATTTTGGTTAGAACTTTTCTCTCTTTATGGTGAGGTTCACGCATTTTGATTAGTATTATTTTTATACTATAAAAAATGACTATTAAATCATTAGAGAAAAGTTGTCAAAATATAATATTTTAAAACAATGCTAAGAATTTGGTTTTGACCATCCATTTTAGCATTTTAAACATTAGAGATGTTCTAACATACTAAAGCAAATGATATAAGACATGAATAATAATTTTTTTATTGCTTTTGTTTTTGGGTCATGTGATTAGTATTATAAAAAATATAATTCAAATTACAAAACTTAAATCAAAGAGTAAAAAAAAGACGAGAGATATCGTAATGTTAAGCATCTTGTGAAGCTTTCTTCTGATGCAGCAAGTGTAGCAACAACATGATAATATCAACGACTATGCCATCAGTTCATTACAAGCATCTGTGGAAGCTACAATGATCAAATACAATACATAAAATTTCTCTCGAGCAGTAATGTAATACTATATTCTAAGGTATAGAACAACAAGCAAACTTAAGTAAAATTTTTTTTTAGAATCTTATAAAACATGATTTAATAGCGATACGGGTCGGTGCGGTTTGGAAGAAAAATAGAAACCAGCGGATTGATAAAAGTGTCACTAGCATTTGCCATTTTTCTTACCAAAAACCGGCGGTTCGATTGACAAATAATAATGAATTTGCCTTGGCGGTGCGGTTCTGTGCGGTTTTGGCGGTTTCAGCGGTTTCGGCGGTATTATGCACACCCCTACTGACAACCTCCTTTCCACTGTAACCCCTCCAATGAGTCCCCTCCTCTACTTTTGTGACATACACCCTCATTCCATCGCTACCTTAACCTGTTCAATTTTGTTTGCTCTTTTTTTCTATGTCAATCCCACTCACTTTTCTATCTCAGTCGAATTGTTAGATATGGCAATTGTGAGGGTTGTAGAAAGGCATTGCAGTTTTGGCTATGAGAGATTATGGAAGTAGAAGAAGGAAGTTGTAAAGTTGAAGTAGGAAAGAGTTAAAGGAGACTAGAGAAGGGACATCGACAATGAGGATGGCTGTAGAAGAACAGAGGAGGGCGATGGTAGGTTGTTGAAACAAGAGATGGTAAGGGATACAACCAGAGCTAGTAGTAAATAGAATGGAATCGTGGAAGATAAGGTTAGGGGTTGGTGATGATAGAAATAAATTGAAATTTTTGTGTTAGAATAAAATTGTAATAGAAAAAAAAATGAAGGAGATGAGGGTCGTCAGAAGGGAGGTGGGGGTCATTAGTAGGGTTATACAAAATATCGTTCAATCTGTTAAAACCACATCAGTCCACACCAATTCGTACTTTTTTATTCTGCTAACCGCGGATTAAATCTTAAAATTTATGATTCCCCTTTGAAACCGCTTCTTTCCACTATAATTAATGCATATATATTTTTTAATTTCTAATGAAATATCAAAGTAAAAATAAGTTTGAAAGAGATTTAATATGTGAAATTTGTTACAAATTAGTAGTTATATATATGAAATATATTATGCAAATTAGTATTATATGTTATGCAAATGCTTGATAATTAGTTAAAAATATTCTTCAATTTGCCCAAATCGTTATTTGGTTATTTGTTAATCCGTTAATCTGTCATTTGATTTATAAATTTACTCTCAAATCGACCGAATCACACCACACACACCTCTAATTATTGTTGGACAATCTTCACTGTAATTATATTAATTAATTCTATTTGGGTACTAAACGACAAACAGAATATAAAAGAAAAATAGGATAGGAAAGAGAAAGTTTGATTACAAAAATCAAACTAGAAATAGAATTAAATAAATAAAAATAGATTTTATTTTGTTACAAAAACAAAATTAAAATCTAATTTAAATAAATAATAAAACAGAAAATAAATAAATAACTTACTTGATTAATATCTTGAATATTATTCTGATCAAGTCCAGTGTTCGACACTGTCTCTTTAAGACAGATTCGTCCTCTCCACGATACTTTCAGAATACGGACGTCTATCTCTCAGGATGAAATGATCAACAACAAATAAATGCAGCACTACAATTTATTTGTTCAACGAACACACTAAGTGTTTACACTATTTCTCATGCAGCAAAATGAAGAATAGATTTGCAGAGGAGAAGTACGAAATTTATGAATGTAACATCAAATGAGGGTTGTCCTATTTACAGATGTATTGGTGGCTGCAGGTTTTGAATTAAACAGGTGCAAACCTGTTTGAACAGGTATAGTACCTGTTGGGTTTTGAATTAAACAGATTTAAATCTGTTGGGTTCAAAATTCAAATAGATAAAAACGGAAAAGACCTGTTTGGGTGTAGAGAATAACCGGAACAGATTAATTCCGGAATTAATCTGAATTTTGGACAGTTGGATAGATTTTATTTGAAAAAATAAAATTAAATCCAAATGTTTCTGGCCCAAAAAGATTAGTATTGGGCCAAACAAGCCCAACCCAACCACACACCATACACCCGCGCCCAAGCCCAGGCCCAGCCCAGCCTGCCCGACCGGACGGATGGCTGCGGCGGTGCGCGAGCGCGTGTGTGGTGAGTTTTGGGTCCAATGGGTCAAGCTCATTTTGCCCATAACCTCTCTCTCTACAAAACTTGGGTACCCCTTGAGGCACACCCCAAGGTCCAATCCCATGCCTTATAAACCCATTCAAAACTTCCCACCAAATCAATGTGGGACAAGCTAATTTCCAAACCTTAAGGAATTTCCACCAAAACTCTATTTCTATGGAGCTCACTTTGGCTTCAATTTCCCATTCACTCGATAATGGTTTTGAGCAACCAAATATACCACGTGAATGGGAAATGAAGGAATTGGCTTGTCCCAATTGAAACAAAGTGAGCAAACAAAGTGAGCTCACTTTGGAAACTGGCTTGAACGCGTTACCATTTTGACCTGCCAAATTTGACGCTCGGGTCCCATTGAAATAATAGACCAAAGTTAGGAAAAAATTTTGGTTTTACCCAGAATTTTTCAACCATTTCCATCAATCCCCCACATGAATGGAATTTGATGACAACGAAAATGCAACAATATGCAAACTTTATCGAAAGAGTATAAGTCGAAAATATCTTGCATCAGGATAGGTAGCTTTTGGCCTTGAACCTTCCCTAGTGATAACCTATCTAACTTACTAGCTAACCAATGGACGCGATGCCGTGAATTGTTCAGCCGTTTGTGTAAGCCAAGACAATAGATTTCACACAAAATATCTTTTAACACATCGTGGTTCTCACTGTTGTGTTCATTTTGGCCTTGAACACTCCTGGTTTTCATGAGTGTTTCTAGAGAATTTAGCCTCTTCATTCTCATAGAACCGGCCCTAGTTTGACACTCATATAGGTGATTCTTATTGTAAGTATCTCTTTATACTTGTCTTGATTTTTATACCTAAATCAAGATATGAATAATCATTAAAAGCAAAGCTTATCTTTATACCCTGCAGACAACACATGTTGCAGATATCACTCTCACTATAGGAATGGGTAAGGAATTTTAATCCCTTGGTGATTTCTGGCGAGCCATACATAACTTAGTTGTCCCTTTGAACGTAGTTCTTGGGATCTCCAGTCATATAAGTAGGGTTACCATTATGATGACTCTTATGTAATAGGCTTTAATCCCACCACCTTCGATGAATTATATACTAGCTCTTTTGTCAAACCTTTTTGTAACAACCCTCGTCACTGTTTACCGATTAACCACTGATTACTGCTAAATTGAGATTGATTATGGTTGGTAACTGAATTGATTGAAGTACTGAACTGACTGACTGAAATCTGAAACTGAATTGATTAAGTATATCTGTTATATTGCATTTCTATCTGTTTGACTGTTTGATTATCGGTTTATGTTTTTATGTTTGAACTACAAATTGAAGGCCTTGTCGGCGGCCGAACCGAAAATTGATTAGTGTTTTACGATCATATAATTTATGTGATTTTATGGTGTATTTATCATAAATGAGATTTAGTATGATTAAATTTGATTAAAATAAGCTAAGCTAAACTAAACAAATTGCCTTATTTACGGAAACGCCATTGTGAGTGGGCCCTTTATTATAAGATATTTGAGCCTTATTAATCATTCA